GAAGTGTTCAGGGACTTGGAAGAGCCTGTTCTATTGGAAAGTGTCCCTGCCCATGGCAAAGGGGTGGGATGGGTTGATCTTTAAGGTCCCTCCCAGCCCAAAGCAGTCTGTGAGTGTTGGAACTCTATGGGATATGGCATAACCTGAAGCACAGAGCAGTTTCTTTCACACAGATGTGAAAAACAGTGTTATTATATGGCCTGAGGGATTAGAGAAAAAAAAAACAGAAGAAAATTACTACCACCTTTGCCTCTTACCTGCAGGACAGAAAACAATTCTGTTTTACAGTGGTGAGTTACTGTCAGGCTCTGTGAATTGGCAGAAGCAGTGGACAGTGTGTTCCCTTCCAAGGAAAACCCAGCGCACTTTCCAAAAATACTCCCAGAATTTTGCATTTCTGTGGTGGTTTGTCACACAGAGGATTTTTGGTGAATATATGGGAATAGATTTGTGTGTGAGGCAGAGGCTGAGATAACATCACAGCGAGGGTTAAGTTCCTTCTTACTCTCTTATTGCCTTATTAGTGCTAAAATCTGTAGCACAATTGCCCACAGCACTCCATTTGGCAGCTGCTCGTTGTTAAGTAAACACATATTCCCATCAGATAAATACACTTTGGGGTCATAAACTCGCATAGCCACCAGATACAGCTTCACGTCCAGCGTCCTCCTGTCTCCTGTGCAGATGGTGAAACCTGAAAGAAAACACGAGGTTTGCTCCCAAGAGCCATCAGCAACAACTTGGTAACATGGTTTTCATTAAGAAATGCTGCTCTATTTTTAAAAATTATTAATCTGGGGATTAATAGTGAAAGCAGTCCTAAATTGGTTTGGAAAGCTGAAAGTTGCATTAGGCTTTGTCCCAGAGCAGTGAGAGTGGCAGCAATGCTGATTTCTGTAACAGACACACGTTGCTGTTGCCAGAGCCCAGATTTAGTGAGGAACAGGCACAATGGTCACTGTGAAACTCTTCTGGAAGCAGGGACTGAAGCAGAAGCGTTCTCATTTTTCATCCTCTAAGTATCCAAATCATTTGACAGCTAATTCCTGAATCCAAACATCCACAGTGAAAAAAACCAGCAAGCAGCAGAGAAGTCTCACAAAGGCAATCTTGACAGAGGCTTTCCCAGCTCTGGGGCCCACTGCAGTTGAATTTACTGCTGGGATTTAGAGAGAAGCCCATCAAGTGGAGAAATGCCAGCTTTAGTATTTAAATCACTGCATTTGCAAGCTGCTTCTGCCCCAAGACTGATCTGTCCACTGCCAATGGGATGGATGCTGTTACAAAGAAAGAATATATTCCTGGAGAAAAAGGAAACATAAGGGATTTAGAATTGAGTTTATAATTTACTTGCTTAGCCTAAAAATTCAACTTCTACAACACAGTGCAGTTAGGAAGAAGCAAATGGGCTAACATGTGAACATCCTTGTTGTAGTGCAAGAAGTCTCTCTTTATTTTCATTTTATCAAAATAGAATAGGTGTGGAAATTTGCAGGCAATCCCGACATGGGAAGAGATGAGGATCTGACTCCATGTTTCAGAAGGCTGATTTATTATTTTATGATATATATATATATTATATTAAAACTATACTAAAAGAAGAAAAGAAAGGATTTCATCAGCAGGCTTGAAAGGAATAGAAGAATGATAATAAAATCTTGTGACTGACCACAGTCTGAGCCAGCTGACTGTAATTGGCCATTAATTAGAAGCAACCACATGAGACCAATGACAGATCCACCTGTTGCATTCCACAGCAGCAGATAACCATTGTTTACATTTCATTTCTGAGGCCTCTCAGCTTCTCAGGAGAAAAATCCTGGCAAAGGGATTTTTCAGAAAATATCATGGCTACAAATAGGGATATCCTCAGAGCACCCAAGAAACGACTCAGGGAAGTTGAAGCATTTGGAGAAACTTGGAATCGAGCTCCAAAATGTCCTGTTTGCCTTTACAATCTCTTTTACTACAAATCAGATTGGTCACAGCTAGGAAGGAGGATGGGGACACACTGGGAGATCAGATCCAGCTGGAGCTCTGATGAGCAAAGAGAGGAGGGTGCAGTGCCAGCCCCACTGCCCACCCTCCCTGCCCACCCTCTGCAGGAACACGAGACCCTCGAGGTGCCATAATAGAAGACAGCAGCGTTCAAAGTCATCATGTTTAAGGGCAAGTTTTAATTCTGTAAAAAACCTTTTTTTTTTTCATTCTGACTGTCCCTCAGCTGATGGTGCCTCAGCTCCAGGTTTTGGTGTTGACACCAGGCAGCACAGCAGCCCCTCAGCCCCACTCCTGTCAGATTTGCAGCAGCCTCTTGGACTGCCAGGCCACTGAACCAGGTGAGAGCTTCCTGCCTCACAGCCATGCCCATTCCCCCGTGGGAAAACCCTGAGCTCAAGATTTGGGTTTTTTTCAAGATGGTCCCTTCTGCTCTCCAAACCTTCCCCAGCTCAGCAAAATGCAGTTTTCCAGTGCCTGAAGGGGCTCCTAAAAAGCTGGAGAGGAGTTTTGGACAAGGGCCTGGAGTGCCAGGGTGACGGGGAATGGATTCCCAGAGGGCAGGGCTAGATGGGATTGCCATGGTTTGGCACTGCCCAACATCAGGCACCCAGAAGAGTCACTGGTTCACCCTCCCTTGCCACAGCTGGGCAGAGGAGAGGAAAAAAAATAATATAGGGTTGAATGAATTGAGATAAGGACTGGGAGAAAACACTTCAAGGGCAAAACAGGCTCAGGTAAAGGTTGCAAAGTGAATTTTTTACTGACAGAATTAGAGGAGGATAATGAGAGGTGAAATAAGCCCTTAAAACACCTTCTTCCCCCCAGCCCCTCCCTCCTTCCCACTGGCAGTGCAGGGAAACAGGGCATGGGGGGTTTGGGTCAGTTCATCCCCCAAGTTCTTCTGCTGCTGCTCAGGGAGAGGAGTCCTTCCCCTGTGAGGAACTTCTCCAGCAGGAGTCTGCTCTTGTGAGCAGCAGCCCTGCTGCACCTCCTGCAAGGTGAATTCTCCCCACGGGCACACAGCCCTCCCAAACTGCTGCAAAGTGAATTCTGAATTCCCCCATGGGCACACAGCCCTCCCAAACTGCTGCAAGGTGAATTCTGAATTCCCCCCATGGGCACACAGCCTTCCCAAACTGCTGCAAAGTGAATTCTGAATTTCCCCCATGGGCACACAGCCCTCCCAAACTGCTTCAAGGTGAATTCTGAATTTCCCCCATGGGCACACAGCCCTCCCTCCCACACAACTGCTGTGATGTGGATCTCTCTTCCCACAGGGTGCAATCCTCCAAGGCCAGGCTGCTCCAGCAGGGCCCCCTCTCTGCACTGGGACTCCCACTGGGCCACAGCCTCCTCCAGGCATCCACTGCTCTGGCCTGGGCACCTCTGCATGCCCATGGGTCTCTGCATGCCCATGGATCTCTGCATCCCCCATGGACCCCCATGGGCTGCAGGGGCACAGCTGTCTCACCATGGTCTCACCACAGCCTGCAGAGCAATGTCATCTCCTGCCCCTGGAGCATCTCCTGTCCCTCCTCCTCCATGACCTTGGTGTCACCATGTTGTTTTCCCTCACATGTTCCCACCTTCTTCTCTTCTCTGACTAAGAGAAAACTGAGTGACTTTGTTTTAATACTTAAATATGTCACCACAGAGGCCTTACCAGCCTCTCTCATTGGCCCAGCCTTGGCCAGCAGCCTGTCCATCTTCAGAGCCAGCAGGGATTGACTCTGCTGGACATGATGGAAGCTTCCAGCAGCTTCCCACAGGAGCCACCTCTGTGGCCCACCTGCTACCAGAAACCAGGCTATGCAAATCCAATACAGGGATAGTGGGAAGAAATTTTTCCTTGTGAGAGTGGTGAGACCCTGGCACAGATTGCCCAGAGCAGCTGTGACTACCCCATCCCTGGAAGTGTTCAAAGCCAGGTTGGATGGGGCAGGGCTGGACCCCTTCCTGTGAAGAAATTTTCTCAATATCCAATCTAAACCTCCCCTGGCACAACCTGAGGCCCTTTCCTCTTGTCCTGTCACTGTTCCCTGGGAGCAGAGCCTGACCTCTCCTGGCTGTCCCCTCCTGGCAGGAGCTGTGCCACAAGGTCCACAAGGACCCCCTGAGCCTCCTTTGCTCCAGGCTGAGCCCCCCCAGGTGCTCCTGGTGCTGCAGCCCCTCCCCAGCTCTGTTCTTGTCTCTGGATGCACTCCAGCCCCTCAGGGTCTTTCTTGTCATGAGGGACCCAAAAGTGACCCCAGGGTTTGTGGTTCCTCAGCAGTGCCCAGCACAGGGGACGGGCACTGCTGGTCCCAGTGCCACACCATGGCTGGCACCAGCCAGGTGCCCTTGGCTGGGCACACACCAGCTCATGTGCAGCTGCTGCCAACCAGCACTCCCAGGTTGTTTTCCAGCTCTGCAGCCACTTTTCCCTAAGCCTGGAGCACTGCAGCAGGTTGTGGTGACCCAAAGACAGTACCTGGCACTTTGCTGAGTGTCACACTACTGGATCCAGGCTCTGCAGAGCCCTCCAGCAGATTAACACTTCCACCCAAACTGACTGAGAACTCATCAGTTCTGCTCCCCGAGGAACTCACAGCTCTGCTTTTGCACTCCTGCCCTGGGAATGCTCCTTACCCTGTGCCTGGTCCCACCCCAAGGGATGGGCACGGACACCAATCTTCTGGGGGGGATAGAATGTAAGAAAATGAAGATAGTGCAGAAGGCAATCTCACCCCTGAGGTAATCAGCTGTACCAGTCAACAAAGATTAGGAACAGGCCTGCCCTTAACAGGCAGTTGTGTCCAGTGAGGATGAGTGCTGTAAAAGAGTGGGTTAGCTGGTTGAGAATGGAGCTGGAGTTTGTGGTGGTGCCATGAAGAAGGAATCAGTGCTGTGAGGAGATGTCCATGAGAAATCACCAAGAGGGTATGGAACTTTGGCAACAAGATGACAACAGTCTTCATCCCCCACAAGCCCACACAGTAAAGCTCTGCAGCCAGCAGCCATGTGGAGGGATCAGTTTTTATTTCAAAAGACAGTAACACAATTCTTCAATTTAGTATCAAAACACTGGATATGTTTTTTTTGTCTCCAGATTGGCCCCAAAAACTGCTACAACCAGGCAGCATGCTCCAACCACAAGTTACTGCGAGCATGGCGGTGCCACACTCACACCTCACAACACAACACATCAGCAATGCACACAGAGATGGCTTGGAATCAATTAAGACAATTAAGAGCAGTCCTGGGCAGGAGGGAAGGCTTGGCTCCCTCCCTCCAGGTAGGCAAAAACACTTCTCCAAGGACACAAGGCTGTTGTACTTAGGTTGTTAAGTGTAACCCAGTGATGAGCAGTGAAGCTTGGTGCATCAGCACTTAGTGAAGGCAAAGTCAGCTCCAGGGTAGCAATGGGTTACAGGGACAGTGGCTTCTCTAAGCCCTTCATGTGTGGAGGGGAAGGGACACAATCCCTGTGAAGTTTCAACTGGTTCAATTGTTCAGATGACTGGCTTGGCTTAAGAAAAAAAAAAAAAAACCACCCCCAAAAAAGGACACCTTTCACCCAAGTTGTTCCTTCCCAACAGAGAGCTACCTTAAAGCTGAAAACTGAACTGTGCTTTTGGCAAACAGCTCCTGGAAAAGGAAGTTCTCTCAACAGGCTGTCACCCTAGCCTGGCTACTCTGACTCACAGCCAGAACCATCATATCTGTTTCCTGCCCTGCCAAAGCAGGGTGGCCCAGAGCCAATTCACAGAAGATTAATACCAAATTCTAAAGCCAAGAGCTCTGAAGGGTAGCTCACCAGCCTCACACGTTATTTGGAATGTTTGTAATGGTCGCTACAAAAAAAGGTAGTTACAAAATGTGTACATCTCAAACATGCTCTCCAAACATTATTGCATTGTTTACTTCCCTTAATGATGCTGTTTGAAGCTCTGCCCAACCTGGTGGCCTTTAACCCTGGAACTAAGGAGATTTGTGTTTGGTCAGGTTGGCAACAGAAAGTAAACTCTGGTGCCAGGGTTAGAGGGCAGCAGCAGCTGGGCTGGCACCGCATGGCACAGGCAGTGGCAGGGATCCTTTACATCTCATTCAGGTCTAGCAGGGTCTGGTCCAGCATTCTTTGCGTGCAGAGATGCTCCTCTTTGGTGGATTTCAGTTTATCTGCCAAGAACAAGAGCTCAGAGTTACAAACCAGACAAGGAAGGGAGAGTCCTTTGCCAAAGAAAGCTTGTGCCAGCCCCTTCCCCACGCAGCTGCAGCGATCCTGGGGCTGGAGTGCCTGGCTGGGTGCAGCTGGAAGCTTTTGAGGTTACCTGGCTCAGTGTAGCCCTCGCCTCTCACACTGCTGGTGCTCCCACAATGGCCACGGTGCACCTTTAGCCAGAGCTCTGGGCAGTGTTTCACATGCAGGCGTCTCTGAGTGCAGCCAGCTCCTCCCAGGGCTTCCACACCTCCACAGCTGACACACACACAGTGGCCCAGCAAGGCACCCGAGAGCAAAAACACCCCTGGAACTCCAGCTGGTTGTGCCCCCCTTCCCCTCAGCACAGGGCAGCAGCAGGGAGCAGACCACCAGCCCCAAGGCAGAGTGAGCAGTGAGGGAGCTGCACCCTGCCCAACACTGCAGGCAGCTGTGCAGTCGATTCTCACATGTTCCTTAAGCCAGGAGGAGAGCAGATCAGCAGCTAGTGCTCTAAGTAGGCTTTATTCCAAAGGTGAGCCCACCCATATCACTGGAGACATCCACACGCTGGGACACTGGGCAGACAGGCTGTGGAAAAATGTCCTTTAGGTACAGGCAGATTGCCAAAGCCACTCCCAACCTCCCCAGGGCCAGAAACTGCACAGAGAGAGAAGAGCCCTCCTCGAGCATGAGCAACAGCAGCAGCATTTCAATACTCCCTGCAGGCACCCAGGACACAGCTTCAGGCTGTGCATTTTGGCTGTCAAGATGTCTGTGAGCTTTCCCAGCCCATTCCAGCTGCACTGGGGTCAGGCCTGGGAAATTACTGCTGCCCCCAAACCTTCTCAGTTAGGGCTCCCCTAAATAGGAACACACTACAGGTGTGCAGTGTCTCACAGACCACAAGGTCAGTCCTTTATTGGTAGAAGCCATCATTCCATGCACCAGGAAATCCTACAGTCATTCAGCTAACAGTAAATTAGGTTGTAGCACTTGACAGGCAGCTTCAAGCAGACATAAGTCTAACTTCAGCCCACCCCTCATTTGGGGGTGCAGCAATTCTGGTTCCATGGAGGAGCCAGGCAGGACCCCCTGGACAAGCAAACAAGACTGGCTAAAACACAGCCAAGTCTGGGGGTGACTTCACCAAGAATAGAGGTTACCTTTATGTATTAAAAAAAAAGCTTAAATAAATTACAGGATAAATCCAAGTGCCTCATTAAAAAGCAGCAAATGCATAAAATTGGCAAGCCTGCCAGTGTTAATGATCAGATTTCAGTGTGGTCCACAGCAGTGGTGGTGGCAATGAGCTGTTAATGGGATTAGTGGGCCCCTTCTCAGTCACACAGATCATGCAGCATTAACTTCAGCTCGTTAGAGAGCAGGCGGTTTTTCTCAAGCTGGCTGTACAGGCGCTCTGCAGCAGCGACAGGATGAGGGAAACAAGAGGAAGAGAGAAAAAGAGAGAAAGGGAAGGTTAGTAGAGCACCTGGAGGAGCACATCAAACAAGCTGTCTCCACAGTGTGTGCTTCTGAGGACAGCCAGCTATTCCCAGAGGTTTGCCTTTCTCTAACTTGGGCTTCAGCTCAGGAAGATCAGAGGAAGCCAAATGTGGGCAGAAGTGAAAGTGCTGCCCAAGATGTGCAAAGGCAAAGAAAGGAAGAAGAGACACCACAAGAGGAGCCTGCAGGCAGGGCCCCAGCAAGGACAGAGATGTGGGATGTGCTTGAAGCCTGTGGAGCACACTGCATAAATTACTCCTGCCACAGCTGTACCAGAAGCAGCTTCCAGAGGGAGCCACACCTCACTGCAGTGGGAATGACACGGTGTGAACAGCAGGACAGGCACACCAGAAGAACTGAGAGTGAAAACATCTCATCCCTGGCCTGGAGGACCCTCCTCTGAGAACATGCCTGGTGCCACACTAACAACCCAGCTAGGACTGGAGGCAGCAACTGTGCAGGTACAGGACAGAGGGACTTTGGAGCACAGAGCCCTCTTTTACATCTGCCCCAGAACAGCTCCATGAGCAGGGCACAAGCTGCCACTGCATTTATGGCATTCCTCATCCTTCAGAGCTCTGTCCTCAGAGCCCCACAGAGGTTCCAGCAGCCACACTCATGCTCATCATCATGCTTGGTCCCTTTCCACATCTGTCACTTCCCAGGGCTGGGTGGCAATGTCCTGCCACAACCAGCCACTACAGAGAACACATTCAGCATCTCTCCTGCTCATTTGCATGGCAGAGTCCTCCCAGCCTGACAGCTCCAATTCCTGCACTTTGGGGAATTCCAGGCAGGAAAAAAAACCTTAAACATCATCTTCCAGCCTGGCAGAAGTGACCAGCAGCACCTGCAGTGACACCAGTGTGATGCCTCTGCTGGAGAGTGAGCCCAGAGCACAGCCTTGGCCTTGGCCTTCCCTCTAATCTTTGTACTGTGAGGTCCTGAAACTCTCAGGCACCTGTGGATGCCATGGGACAGACAGAGAGACACAAACACTGTTTCTCACAGTGGCTTGTGAGAATTTTTAGGGAGTTTATAAGGATGTGATAACTTGTTAAGTATAAACAATCTGCAGGTGGTGTTTTTCTACTTCATCTTTCTGTTCTTCTCAAAGACAGTGTGTGAGGAAGATGTTTTTGTTAGTTAGCCAATCAAACAGAATCTGTCCTATCTCTCTATTTAAACCACGTGGTTCTCTTGAATAAAACCTTCTTTGCTCTTTCTACAATCCTGCCTCCTGCCTGTTCCTGTCTCATTCTCAGTGCAAGAGTGACAGGCACGCCCTGAAGGGGACCTACACCATTCCTCATTGCTTTCAATCTCAGAATATTTTACTCTTGAACAAGACCTAGCTGGGTAAAATTGCAGAAAGTGGAATGGTTTACATGGAGCAGCCAAAGCACATCACCCTCCCCAGAGTCTCAGCTCAGTCCCACCTGCACACAGAGGGGAAAACTCAACTTCAGCTTCACACTCAGCTTCTCTCAGCCCTCAGAACCCTCTAACTGCACCTCACTCTGCAGGAGAGGGCAGTCATGCTGATTGATTGTCCTTTCTTTAAAGCCACCAAGGGAAGCACAGGCAGAGAAGCCAATGATTTCTGACCTACCACAATGGGGAAGCTGAGGGAAGTTGTGGGTACATCCTGGCCCATGCCTTGCACAACAGCTGCCGTTGCTGCTGTGGGGGGCTCTGGCTCCATGGTGCTCTGAGCAGCCCCAATGTCTGTCCCCAGACCTGCGAGATCCAGGCTGGTCCTGGGTCTCCCCAGTGGCAGAGGATGAGAGTGAACTGTGCTCAGCAGAACTTGGTGCACCAGCTCCAGCTTCCAAGCAAACATTCCTGCTTGTGTGCAGGGAGCTGATGATTCACCCACACAAGGCAGCAGACTGGAGTGTTTAGCATGACTGAACTTCCCACACTTCAGGAACAGCTTCTGCACAGGGAACACCTGCCCATGTCTGCAGCAGCCACGCCGTGTTTGGGCTGCTCCTTTCCCTGCCCATCCCCAGGGCAGCCCCAGGACGTGGGGAGCCCCAGGAGCTGCCCCTCCTGGTCAGTCAGCCTGAGTTTGCAGCACTCCCACAGCACAGCACAGCTGCCAGGAACCAGCCTGCACAGGCCCAGCAATCCAGTCCGACCAGATGCCTCCAAAACCTCCCAGGGTAACCATTGCATCACCCACCCACATCCCCATCCACCACCCAGAGCCTGGGATTCCTTCTGGGTGAGTGGGGAAAGTGCCACAGCCCAGGCTTAGATAACATTCCTGGGAACACCAGTGAGCAGAGCAGAGCCAGCAGCTCCCCACAGCAACAATCAGGGTGCAACCAGACCTCCCTGTGAGGTGTGAGCTGCCACCTCCCAGCACTGACAACCACACGAGGGGTGAGGCTGGAAGGGACCTCTGTGCTTCTGGTCCAACCTCCCTGCTCAAGCAGGGTCACCCCAGAGCACTTGGCACAGGATTGTGTCCAATTATTCTGGAATATCTCGAGTGAGGGAGACTTGACACGGTATCTGGGCAATCTGCTCAGGGCTCAGTTACCAACACAGGGAAGAAATTGTTCCTCATGTTCAGGTGGGACTTCTGGGCATCAGTTTCCATGTGCTGCCTGTCCTGCTGCTGGGCACCACTGAGCAGAACCTGGTCCCTCCTCTGACACCCTCCCTTTGACACTGACAGACAATGATGGTGTCCCTGTTGTCTTAAAGAGCTGACAGGGGAACACTGGACGGGAAACCTCCACATTTACAGAAGCCCTGCCCTCCCACAGGATCCAGATCCTCATCTCAGCTGCAGTGGGGTTACTGAAGAGCTCTGGGTTCCTGCTTTGTGCTCATGGGACACTGTCCAACATCCCACACTTTGAGATCCCTTGAACGCTCCCTCCCTTCCCCACCTGCCACCAATGCAGAGTGGCACAGGCTGGGGCAGGTGAGTGTGCCTGGATTATCCTGAGTGCCAGTGCTGGCACGTGGAGAGCAGAAGGGCACAAACCTGAGGAAGCCACGGGAAGTGTGCCATGTCACCAGAACTCTGCTCCTGGAGGGCTCTTCGGGCACTGGGGCAGATGAACAGATCCAGAAAGGAAAAAGTATTTGACCAACCACCATGAGGCAGCACACACTGTTTTGTGAGCAGTGTTTATCATACCACATCAACCAGCAACAGCTCCAGCAGTGACACACAGCAGGCACTCACAGCCCAGTGCCAGTGCTCTGTGGGAAGCTCCATGCCACATTTCTAGAAGGATCCTGCAGCCCCCAGCCCCTGTGTGGGGAGGGAAGGGCTCTGCAAAAGATTCCCTGGCTCAGATGCTCACAGCCCTGCTCATTCCTGAAGCAAGAGGCCACACATCCTTGCCCTTGGCACAGGCAGCACCTCACACCCAGTTGTGCCCCAGTGAGACCAGCCAGAGCTCACACAGTATTTACTGGCTTCCAAACCCTGGCTAACAACTATCAGGTGTGTGACCTCCCACTGCAAGCCAGTGCTTGGCAACCAGTGCTGGTGAGCACTCCAAAGCAGGCAGGAATGAGGAGTGTCTTCAGTCAGGCACAGCTCCAGGGCCTCCTGCTGCAACCCCCAGCCTCCAGTCTGACCCCACAGGCCCTGTCTGCAAAGCTGCCATCACATCTGGGAGCCAGGGACACACCTCAAAGAAAAATCCAGCGTGCAAGTGAGGTCTGTGCTCCACTGAGAGTGACTCCAGTTTGAAGGCAATGCTGAGACAGTTACTCTAAAGCAGCAAGTGGTCACTAGAAACCCATTTCTCCAAAGCAACAGCCATTTATACAGGAACTGTTTTCCTTAAAAAAGGTGACATCATGCTCGAGCAAGAGGCAAGAGAAATACAAAAAGAGCTTTTATGGCTCCACACAAGATATGCAGATGAGAACAACATCCTCCCCGCTCCCCCAGCACAGAAAGGGCAGCCCCTCAGAGCAGGCTGTGTCTGGCACATCAGGTCACACAGAGGGAGCTTTGTTTGGGAGCAAGTGCAGCAGAACTGGGGGGCTGCTGCCTCTGTGTCTGTACAGCACCCATTCCCAGGGATGCCCTGTGCACAGTAACTGGAAAAAGGCACTGGAATTCAGAGTGAGATGAAGAGAGCGTGAATGCCGGGTGCAGATGCAGAACAAGCCACCAAGCAGAGAGACAAATCCAAAGTGGAGTTTGGAACCACAAGAACTTATCTGTGTGAGACAGAAGGAGACACTAATTTTAAGGAAAGCCTCGGTGTTTGTGCACAGCAAACTCTGCTCAGGGAACGTTGGGACACTCGTGTTAAGGCTCTTCTCTGTGGGGTGAGGACCTGGCCTCTCCTGGGTTAGTGCAAGGACCACATGGAGCAGTTGTTAGCAGCACCCACTGCAGATCTGAACAAAGCTAAGGAGCAAAGTTGCAGAAACACACAAGTTCAGCTACTTCCACAGATCAGTTCATGATCTGGCCCATCTCAAGCCTATTGTGGCAATTCCTAAGGAATCCACCTGAGCACTACCCACAGCCTCTTCCAGAAGGAATCCTGAGACCATGGCCCAGTGGCTCCAGCAGATGACAAAGCCACATTTCCTGAGAAAGCCCTTCCCAGTGGGAATGGGAATTGCACTCAAATTTAAGTCAGAACCCTTTCAGGCCAGCACAGCACTTGGTTACACATGCAGACCACCAGGACCTAGAGTTAGAGGATGGCATGCTGGGGCTCCTTGGGCAGATCTGTAGAAGTAACCTGGACAATTCTCCAACTACAGAAACCACAGCAAACCAAGCAAGCACTGGCAGTCCAGGCTGCTGAAGCGAGAGCCAGCTCATATTTACATGGAAGTCATGTCATTCAGGGCGTGGTCCAGTTCCTCACTAATTGCTTTGTACTTCAGTTTCTGGGCATAGAGCTCATCTAGAAGAGGTTTAGGAGGAGAACAAAAGGAAAACAATGAGGGAAGGCAAAGAGTTCTTCCAACACTCCGGGGTGGGAAAGGCACACTGGCGTACATGAACTGAAGAAAATTAAGTTAGATGTGGAGCCATCACGACTCTGTGTTCATCCCCAACAATGAACAGGAGGGTTCCAGCAGCCTGAGGACCCAAGTGACCCACAAGTGCCTTCCAGGATTCCAATCCAGCTCCAAGGGCAGCAGAGCCAAGCACTCAACCACATCACTTTGTAAAAACAAGCTGTCCAGCTAGGTCAGCAGGAACCAGGGTCAGGAGGAGCAGCAGGGAAAGGCAACTCCATCCACTTAGGGAGAAGCTTGTTACACTTAAGGAGAGCACTGATAATTGAGGTGCCTTGTTCTCACCTGTGTCTCAATGCAAAGACTGGCTTGGGAGCAGTCAGTCATGTCACAGAGCTGGGCATCAGAGGAAACTGCAATGCTGCAGGACGCAGTGAGGTGGGAGAGCAGACTGGCCACACCAGTGCTCTCCATCAGATAATGGAGCAGACAGGCAGCTCTCTGCCTGCAGGGAGGGGTGGGCCTGGGACTGTGCTGACACATCCCTGAGCCCTGCAGAGCTGGCACAGACAGCTCCAGCTCTGGCAGCTGGGCTGCAGTACAGCTGGGCATGCTGCTAACAGCCTCACAGAGCCTGCCTGGGGAACTTTGTCATTTGTCATGAACTAGGTCACCTCAGCAGCAAGGCTGCAGACCAGAGCCAACTCTCAATCAACAGGTTTCAAGGGGAGCATGCAGGGATTTGGAGGACTTTTTGCAGTTCCAAATAAAAGCTTGTCCTGCACCATGAGGTGGCTCAGATTGCTGCTTGGCTGCAGTTCTGGAACAGTTCAGCTGACACCATTGCTATTTCTAGATAATAAACCTCCAGAGTGACTCCAGACAGCAGGACAGTGCTTTGTATCTCCAAGAGCTGGCACTAACAGACCACAAAGGCACACCTGTGGTCAAGGTAGGAGACCTGTAAGGGTTTTGGTTTACCAGCACCACCACTCCAGCCACAGCAATCCACAAAAGAATCTGGCCACACTCCCAGATTTAAGGGAGGCAGCTGAAACCTTCTCCTCCTGTGGCTTGGGGCAAGGTTCTGCAATGGCTGGGCTCAGGAGTGCTCCTGAAGGACTGTGTGAAGGAATGGGAGGAGGAAAGGAACCCACCCTTGGCACAGGCTGATTACCCCATGGGCTGAACTGCTGGGGATTTAACCTTGGCTCAGGACTCACACTGGGCAGTCTGAGGCTTCATGGGGGCTGTTTCAGACTCACTGACTCCTGCAAGACCCCATCTGCAGCAGCCAGCACATGCATGATGTATTGTGACCAGTTCTTACAAGTGCAGGTGTTTCTTTCCTATGCCACTCCTACAAGAACTGGATTAAGCTGGGGCACAGGGATCTGGCTACAATCCTGAGGACATCACTACCAGCATACAGAAGCTATCTAGATAAGGCCAGGTGTCTGGATCAAGAGCTTGAGAGCTGCTGCAGCACAGGGGAACTGTTTTCAGAGCAGGGCTCTTGCCAAGCCTCCCCTTGGAGGCCAAGTGGGATAATGCTCCAAGCAATGAGGAGCACAGCAGCTACCTGAGACAAAGCCCTCCTCAGCTTCTCACCCAACACCCATTGCTTGGTTTCCTATGCCCAGAATGTACCTTCCAGATCATCAATGGTCTTCTCCAGCTTGGCTACAGAGCGTTCAGCAAACTCAGCACGGGTCTCTGCCTGCCAGACAGAAATAAACCAGTGAGTGCAACAGGAAAGGGACCAGTCCAAGGACATGGACTTTGCATCTCTTCCCAGTCAAGCTGAGGCCAGCTCACCCTGCTGGGCCATCCTGACATGGCCACTCACCTCTTTGAGTTTATCAGTCAGAATCTTGATCTCTTCTTCATATTTATCCTCTTTTTGAGAGTACTGTGGAAAAGGAGTCAGCAGTCAGCAGCCCCAGATACCTCCCTCTCCAGAGAGCCCACAGCTACAGAGGGCAGCATCAACTCCTCACTGCAGCACACATGACAACAGAAACCTTCCACCTGGGAGCTGTTCACATCCTCACCCAAGCCCAACAGGACTGGGGCAGGTGGCAAGTCTCACACCATGCATGGAACACAAACTTGGATGCAGAAAAATTCTCATCTTAACGTTTTAGCAGCTTAAACATCCTGGCTGATTGAGTCTGCCCCAAGGCAGGGAAGGGCAGCCAGGCTTCCCCCACCCCAGCTTCCAGGCCCTCCAATGAAATAAATACCTCAGCCCTCCCAGCAGAGCAAGCACAGTGCTCCTGGCTTGCTTAAGACTGCAGTTGAATCATTTCCACCTCAGTGGGTGCTCTGCTGTTTACCCTCCTAGCACAACAGCAATGTTTCTGGCCCTGGGACAGGCAGCCCTACCTTCTCAGCCTGAGCCTCAAGAGACTTGAGATTGTTGGTGACATTCTTCAGCTCCTCCTCCAGCTCGGAACATTTACTGTGGGGTTTTGTAAGGAAAGGGGAGAAAAAAAAGGAAAAGAAGAAGTGGGAGGGAAAGACAGGAGACAAGAAGTGAATCCACGTGCAGGGAAGATCAGGAAGTTCTTTAGGAGACTGTCTGAGATCAGACTGGACAGGACCCTGCTTTGAGGCACCTGTGCAGAAAGCAAGTTCCGTTTTTGCCTCTGAGCTCATGTTTGGGATATTCTGCCAGCACATGCACGGGGCACAGAGCTGAGCAGCGAGATGTGGACACAGGTTTCTGCCAGACTTGGAGTCTCCAAGGAGAAGCTTCACTTTTAGTGTGCTGTACGGAGGGAAGCTGTTCTGATGGACAGAAGGACAGCCACCACCACTGCAAAAGGGACATTTATGGGCAGAGAAGACAGAATGTTCCAGGAGACAGCGAGAGAGAGACGCAGTTAAGCTGAGGGGAGGAGCACAGTGAGGAGACCACATGAGTTTTTGGTTTAATGGTTCAAGAAGGGGAAGGTTAGTACCTTTTCTTCGGCAACAGACAGACACTTCAAGTTCTGGTCCATCACTCTGATCTGCTCCTGCAGCTCCCGGCAATGACTGTTAGTGACGGTCACACAGGGGCACAAGCCACGTGGGGGCAAGGTCAAAAGGAGCACCAGAACCACACCACCACAGAGCCAAAAAGGGTGGGGAAGGGAAACACAAAAAAGTCATGGTCACAACATGCACATCTGGGCGGGAAGCACAGTGCTGCTGCTGCTGCATCCACACCAACTGTGTTAGACAAGGCCCAGAGCACAGAAAGGCCCTGACCAGCTCCTCGAGGATCAGCTAAAGCACCTGGACACATGAAAGGAGCCCAAACACCAGGATTTGTGTCTCTGCTCTGAGCAGAGGAAGCCCAGATTTCTGCTCAGCGGTGCAGAAGCCTGTAGTGGTGTGGTGGTATTACTGCAAATCCTTGGAGAGGCCCAGAGAGCAGCCTCAGCCACAGCTCTGCCCTTGGCCACCAAATATGGCCCAGGAGGCCTCTGCCACTTCAGTACAAGCACTGAGAACCATCTTGTGACTGCACACACAAAGCAGTGCTGTGATTGCTGAGCACAGGAAGGCTCTGCAGCCTCCATAACTAGGGAGTGACTCCATGCAAAGGCCCAGAGTGTCTCCACCCAAGGCAAATCACATCACAAACTCTGTGTCCTAGGTGGAACTAATCCTGTTTCATGGAGGGAAGTGCTTTCATTGCTTTCCTTTGCAGCCCTACACCCACCCTGTGCTTCAGGCCTTGTGTAACAAGGTTAGCAATGCAGTGTTAGTGCCCATGCAGAGGCAGACCTGGCAGGTACATGCAAGCAGACTACTCACGACTCTGCGAGCTCAGCTCTCTCCTCAGTGCGCTCCAGATCGCCCTCAATGATCACCAGCTTCCGAGCAACCTGGAAAGGACAACCAGGGTCAAGAGCAAGGAGGAGTTTTGTGCTTGCAGGCTCTGCAGAGTGAAGGGAGGAATGCCTGCAGGAGCCACTGGAGCTGTGGGAAGCTTTTGGCCAGGCAGAGCATTGATGAGGCTCTGCTGAGAGCCAGATTTGCTGTCAGCAGGAGGAGGATTCAAGTCTCCTGGCCCAGGTCAGTTGTACAGAGCACACAAAGGTCTCACCTCCTCATACTTCCTGTCTGCCTCCTCTGCAATGTGCTTGGCTTCCTTGAGCTGGATCTCCTGCAGTTCCATCTTCTCCTCATCCTTCAGAGCTCTGTTTTCAATGACTTTCATGCCTCTGCCCAAAAGCAAGCACAAGGAGGGGAGATGTGTGAAACAATCTTGGACAAGGCAGCAGTGCAATGAGTTGCAGAGCATTAACAGCAGTCCCTGGAAGCACAGTGCTTCTCAATAAACCATGATTCCTCTGAATGCAGAAGGCAGAGGCCTCTGGGCTGATGTGAATACAGCCACCTCAATTGCTTGGAGTTAACTGTTCTGTGGAACATTCCCCCCGCAGATCACTGGGTTCCCAGGCCAAGGGGAGTGCAGTGCTCCTGAGAACAAGCCCAGCTTTCTTAGGGACTCCCAGCCAAGTCAAGCACCTCCCCATCTGGAATGAAGGAAGAGCCAAGTCTCTCTGTGGCAGGCCAGCAGCTGGGGCAGGCTGCTCACGGTGTGTGCAGGAGGAAGCACATCAGACAGCTGGAAGTGGGCCACTCCCCTCTGAATCACAGGTCAGGGGACATCTGCCACTTAGGGAGGATGCTGGCAGAGAGCCTGCCCCACCCACAGCCACCTTCACAAGGCAGTGGTGTCCCTGAACCCGTGTATTTCTCCTCTTTGGAAGAGGGGATGCATGGTGGCACATGGCACTTCCTCACTCCCTAACCTCAGGATCCAGGACAATCAAGGCCATCAGCAGCCTCAGGTTCATCAACACTGGTTTAGCTCCTCACTGACTTGAGGGAGTTAGTGCCTAAGCAGGCACTGACTTCCTCAAGCCTTGGTGTGGGATATCTTCCTCCAAAAAGTTGATGGCACCAAAAGTTGATGGCACCAAAAAAGTTGATGGCACCAGACCCTCAGTGTCTGACAGAGTGCAAGCAGGAGTCCTTGCTCACCTTTCACTCTCATCTGCTGCCTTCTCTGCCTCTTCCAGCTTCTGCAGAGCTGTGGCAAGGCGCTCCTGAGCTCGGTCCAACTCCTCCTCCACCAGCTGGATCCGGCGATTCAAAGATGCCACCTCAGCCTCAGCCTGCAGGGAGCAGAGGGGGGCACTGAGCCCGGGCAGGTTTGGCAGCTGAGATCTGCCACAGGGGCAGCAGCAGCAGCACACAGGAACCCAAAGCAAACCCAGGGTGCTTCAGCCACTCTCCCAGAGGTGAGCAGCACCTCAGCTCTGCAGGCTTCTCGCTGCCAGCCTGCGCTGCTCTGAGTTCAGGCCATAAACACCAAGGAGATGATTTACACCAAGGGCTGCCTCTGCAGCTGCCAGGATCCTGCCAGGCCATTCATTCATCACAGCTCTGTTTATCCACCACACCAGAGCGTGCTGACAGCTGCCACTTAGCAGAGAGTCAGCTTACTGCTGTGATCTGGACGTGAGCATTGCTTGAGGCAAACCCTCTCAGCAGCAAGGTGAGAAGGATTAACATGTCCAGGGATGTGCCAAGCTGTGCTGGGTGCTGCTGCCAAGCTGGGCTGCTCACAGGGTGCTGCCCAGCCCCAGGGCTTGTTGCTGCAGAGCCCACAGCCCCACAGAGAGCCTGCAGTGCTTGAGGCTTCCTTCCTCCCAGCAAATCCAGAGAAGGAGCAAAAGCCTTCTCCAGCCTTGAGACAGGTTGAGGAGGCTGCTCCCCAGCAAGAGCTGCCTTGGATCACTCACACACATTGGGAGCTGCTGACAGCCTGCAGACATCTGCCAGAAATGTGGCTGGGGCTTTAAGGAGCTGGCACAGATCAGGGGCCATCCCACCCCCCAAGCACTGCAATCCATGTCCTAGTCAGCCTCCACAGAGGCCACAAGGTACAAGGCAGCCCCCACAGTGCTGTGCTGTGGTGGGGAGCACAGACCATGCTCAGAGAGCTCAGTTCATCACTCGTGTGTAACACAGCACTGCCATCACCCTGTGGCTCGCTCCAGCGTTGAGTCAGAACACAGCCAGGGCAGATACAGAGGATAGGAACTGCCCTTCAGTGCTGCTGAAAACAAAGCACCTCAAGGCCAAGGATGAAAATCCCTTCTGTGGCACTCCTCTTCTGGATCAGGCCCAGACTAAACAGTCAAGTGGAGACTCTCTGCAATCTTTTTGGGACCCTGGGGGCATGGCCTGATTGCCTGTGAGGCCCCTGCTTGCAGCCACATCCACTCCAGCCAAAGCCCAGGGGAGCCCAGATGCTTTAGGAACTCTGACATCCCCCTGGAAATCCAGAATCCTGCTCCCCAACAGGATTACAAAGGCAGGCAGGCAGGAGTGCAGCCATTCCAGGGCAGCACTGTGACCTTCTGCAAAACCCAGACACAGGCACATGGCAGACAAACAGAAATACCCCAGCTGCACATAACAAAGCACCCTCCCAGCCACACCGTGCCGAGGAGGAGGAGGAGGAGTAGAGTGATGAAAGACACCAGTGTTACACTGGGGTCCCACACTGCTTGCACCCAGCTCCCACAGGGGCTCCCCGAGCTCTTCCCCCCACTGAGGCTCCCCTGGCAGGTTGGGAGGGCACAGAGGAGCTCCCGTGCAGGTACACCCAGCTCTGGATCAGCCCACACCCCTGTGGTGCCCAGAGCCAGCACCCACCCTGCTGAAAGGGGAAGTGGTCTGCCTGAAGAGGAGCACAGCAATACCTTAAACAGAACCAGGAAGGAGATTGCCTGATTGCATCTTTGCCCTATTAAAGGAGCTACCAGCTGCTGAGGACCTCCCCCTTCCTTCTCCACTTCTTGACTCTTTGAACTGCACCACTCAGCCCTGACTTCCTGCAGGCAGTGTTCAAAAACCACCCAAAAACCACGCTGCCTTTTGAGGAAGTGCCTCTCCCCTGCTGCAGCAGGGCCCTTACAGCTCCTGTTCTGCTGCTTCTCTCTAGATACAGATGAAACTGTCAGGCTTCCCCAGAGCACTGGGTGACACTTCCAGGTGACTCTTTCAGACCCCCTGGTACAAGTGGCACATTTCTGTTATTCCAAGCTTCTTTCACAAAGGCAGCCCTGAGCAAGGAGCACCTGGAGCCCAGCAAATCAAAGGAGAAGCTCATCCAGGCCTTCAGAATTCACCAGTGCTGTCCCAAGAGAGTCAAGAGGACTCCCCAGGACCCGTGGCCAGGCAAGCCCTGGGCACCATACTGGGAGCACTGGTTCTCTCCCCCGAAGGAGGCTGAGGGAGCTGGGAAAAACACGCCTGTACCTGTGACAATGCTGCTATTGCAAGGGGAATTCCTTATGTGGCTGCAAAGAAAGAGCCAGCTGAGGCCTGGGAGTGGCAGCAGCTTCTGCCATGGATCTGGGCAGCAGAGCCTGACCCATCCCTGGCAGTGCCACAGCGCTGTCACAGACACAGGCTCGGGGACTCAGGGGGGCACTCAGCTTCACATCAAATGCAGCAAAATCACTGCAAACTCAAAGAGAGTCATGCTTAGATTCCAGCAAGGACCTGCCCTGTGTCACCTCATTCCTGACCCCAAAACGCTGCCAGCTTTGCCTGTGTCCCAGCCCCAGGGAGGCGGCCACTCGAGGTCCTGCCCGTGGTCACCTCAAGGTCCTGCCCGTCCCACCTCATCCCTTTCCCCAAAATGCCACCAGCCCTGCCTGTGTCCCAGCCCAAGAGAGGTGGTCACCTCAAGTTCCTGCCCACGTCGCCTCATCCCTGTCCCCGAAACGCCACCAGCTTTGCCTGTATCCCAGCCCCAGGGAAGGGAGATGGCCACCTCGAGGTCCTGCCCGTGTCACCAGGTCCCTGTCCCCAAAATGCCATCAGCTTTGCCTGTGTCCCAGCCCAAGGGAGGGGAGGCGGCCACCTCCAGGTTCTGCCCGTGCCACCTGGCGGTCCTGCCTGTGCCACCTCGAGGTCCTGCCCGTGCCACCTCGCCCCTGTCCCGGCCTTTCCGGCGGTGAGCACAGCGCTGCCAGCTCAGATCCTGCTGTCGCCGCTCCCTCCTCCCTTTGAGGCGCTCCCACCCTGCTCTCCCCCGCCGGTACCGGTGTGAGGGAGCCCCGCTGAACGGGCCGGGCGGGATGCGGGGCTCGGCAGGGCTCCTGCACCGGCCGCATCCCGAGGGAACCCGCTCCTTCCTTCCATCTTACCCGCGCAGCTCCGGGCTCGGGGCCGCACAAGATGGCCGGGGCCTCCCCCTCCTCCCCCCGGCCGGCTCCTCCGCCGCTGCCGTCCGTCCCGGGACACCGGGAACAGCGAAACAACGCCAGGCCCCCCTCCCCGGCCCCGGTGTCCGCTCAGCACCACGGGCGGGTCCCAGGGGGAGCCACGGATACAGAGCGAGAGCGCCGCTCCCGGCGGACCCTTCGGGCCGGGCCGGCATCCCCGCGGCTCGGAGCGACCCCCGGCTCCGGGCGCGCCGCCCGCCCGGCTCTGCCCCCGCGCGGCGGCGGCGCCGGCGGTACCTGCTCGCGGTTGCGGCGTTCGGCTTCCACCTCCCGCTGCAGCCGCTCCGCCCGCTCCTCCGCATCGTCCGCCTGCTGCTGCAGCACCTGGATCTTGCGCTTCACCGCCTCGATAGTGGTGGCCCCGGCCATGCTCGGTGCCTCCGCTCCAGCCCCGCCACCCCCAGACACCGGGACCGCGCCCGGAACGGCCGGACGGAAGTGACGTCACTTCCGCCCCGCCCCGCGGGCGCGTTACCGGGGAGATGAGGAGCGGCCGCCGCGCCCGGGGCGGGGCCGGGGCACCGGGACCGGCACCGGACCGGGGGCACTCAGTGGCACCGAGCGGGAACGGGGCACCATCACCGGGCGGGGGACACACATCGGCACCGGCGGGAACGGGGCACCGTCACCGGGTGGAGGCACCGGGACCGGCACCGGGCGGGGGGGACACTCGTTGGCACCGGCGGGAATGGGGACACCGGGCGGGAATGGAGCACCATCACCGGGCGGGGGACACATCGGCACCAGCGGGAATGAAGCACTGGCACGGGATGGGGCACACACATCGGCACCGGCGGAAACGGGACACTGGCACCGACCCGGGGGGGAACACAGGCTGTGCCCCACGGGCACCTGGGTCCACCGGTACCCGCCCGATATGGGCGTGAGGGCACCGGGAGTGCCTCATGTGTCACGGGGAGCAGGCACGGCCTCACCGGGCCCGGAGGATCCACACGGGCCCTGCCCCACGGAACCCCCTTACACCCCGGTCGGACTGCCCTCAGCCCCGGGGCAGGGGACACACATCGACACCGGCGGGAACGAGACACCGGCACCAGGCCGGGAAGGAACACAGGATGTGCCCCACGGACACCTGGGTCCACCGGGACCCGCCCGATACGGGCGTGAGGGCACCGGGAGTGCCTCGTGTGTCACGGGGAGCTGGCACGGCCTCACCGGGCCCGGAGCATCCACACGGGCCCTACCCCACGGAACCCCCTCACACCCGCCCCGGGCCCCGGGGCTGGTTCGGGCACGGCCCCGCCACGGGCAGCTCCGGGAGCCCGCGGGGCCCGGAGCCCACAGCCCTGCAGCACGTTCCGCTCCTTCCTCCCTGCCAGGGCAGGGCTGCGGCCGCCAGGCTCCCGCTGCGCTTCCATGTGAGATCCCGAGATGAGCACCCTCCCGTGTCAGGAGGATAACGCTGCGAAGATCAGAGCTGGGAGCTGTGTTCCTCCGTGGCGTGAGGGTCATGGAGCCCCCCAAGAGCTCGATAAACGCATCACCGAGGCCTGTTACTGCTCTCATTCCCCCCTCTCGTTCCCCTGTTTGTCAATGCTTCGAGTGTGTGGATAGAAGGGAAGGCTCCAAGCTGCTTGAAACCCTCGGCAGCCAGGCAGGAGCATTTGCCTGGCATGGCACAGTATGGCATGGCATGTTTCCGAGGTCAGTGAGAATCCAAAGGGCTCTGTTGTGCTGGAAGCACCCGGGAGGCAGCTCTGCCCTTTCACTGCTCCGGGAGGCAAAATCTCCCCACTTCCCAGAACCAGGAGGAAAGTGGGGGACCCCCATGGGCCACCCTGGGGAAAAAGGGCTGCCGGTGCACAGAGAGGGATCCAAGTGGGGATGTGGTGACAGCAGGGAAAATGCCAACAAGGACAAAGGGGGGCAAGAAGGGTGTGAGGGTGGGAAGAGCTCTGCAATGCTGCACTCGACACAAGCCAGTCCCAGTGCAGGGCTGCCCACAGGGACCCGCAGCAAAGCTCCAGGGCTCCGGAGCTCCCAGCGAGAGCAGCCCAGGCGCCGTGCTGGGATCAGGCATTTCCCCACCAGCACGGACGGCTCCTGCCTTCTCTGCACCAGAGCCGGGCTGCGAGGCTCTGACACCGGAGCCTGAGGCATCCCGGCCTCTCAAGGACTGCCAGGTCCTGACAGGTGACGAGCGGTGCCTCATGCCTCTCTCGATGCCGCCGCCGGCTGAAACCCTGCACCGCTCGCACCATTGTTTTCCTGGAAACGGCGGACAACAATAGCCGGGCTGTGCAATGCTCACGCTGCCCATGAGCCCCCGCCTGCAGGGGGATGAGGGCTCTCCCCTCCTCCTTCTCCTTCCCGGAGCTCGGCTCCACCACCCCCAGCCGTGACTCAGAGTTTCCCGGGGACACGTGGACCCCGCATCCCGCACTCACTGCCCAGCTCTGCCCTCCGGATTTGTCCTTCACAGGGCCATTCTCTGCTCGAAGGCACCTGCACGGTTTTACCGGGAGCACACTGAGCCGGACAGGGACCTTCCCGTGTCCCCAGGGCACAGGGAACCGCTGCAGTCCCACCAGGAAGGGGAGCAAGGCAGCACTCAGCTTCCACCTGCACCCCATACATACGTCCGCCGCCTTCTTCTCTGCCAGCTCCAGCTTCTCCTGGGCGTCCTTCAGGGCCTCAGAGTATTTGTCCAGTTCATCCTCTGTCCCCTTTAGCTTCTTCTGCATGGCAGCTAGCTCATCCTCCAGCTGGAAGGACAGCGGTGTCACCACAGGAGGACACCACTCTGAACCCCTGCACCCCGAGAGAGCCCTGCCTGCCCCATCCCAGGCTCAGCTCTGCCCCATGGCATCCCTCCTGCCCCTCCCTTGGGGCCAGCTCTGCCCCAGAGTGTCCACCCCATTCCCACACCCCAGGGCTGTCCCACCCTCAGAGTGCCCTTGAGCTGGGGGATAGTGGCAGCTGTCACACTCTTACAACTAAATTAACTATTTAGTGCAGTAAAACACGCTCTCATACCCCAGGCAGAGTCCCTGTTGGGTCTGGGCTCAGCATAACCCAGCACAGGTACCCCCCACCACCCCTGGGCTGGGGGCTGTGGCTGTCTGCCCTACCTGCTTGCTCCGCTCCTCCGCCTGCTTCTGCTCAGCCTCTGCCTGCTCTGCCCGGTCCAGGGCGTTCTCCTTGTCCAGCTTCAGCATCTGCATCTTCTTCTTGATGGCCTCCATCCTCGTTGGGCAGCAGTGAGCAGCGGGATGCAGACAGACAATGGGTGGCTAGGGCAGCTGTGGTGCCTGTGCCCCACTGCCCGTTTATCAGCTCTGCCCAGCACGGTGGCTTTGCCTTTCTTGGGCTGAGCCGCCTCCCCACCTTCCCAAAAAGTCTGTGCTGGGGACCCATTGTGTGTCCTGGGGGCTCCGGGTGGTCACAGCCTTATTTGGGCTCCCCAGGACAGCTGGGGCGTTATAAAAAGCAGCAGCAGGTCTGTGACAGGGGGTCCTGCATTGTTCCAGGTGCCCCCTCCCCCTGTGCAACGGGACACCCTGGCTGGTGCCCCGAGTGCTTCCTCAGGATGTTGAACTGGGTCTGTGCAGAACTGGCACCAAGTCCTCGCCCCCCATTTGCCTCCTCCTTAGGATGTTTTGGTGGCCCTGGGCTGACATTTACCCCTGCCTGGGGGCGGCATAGAAAAGGGCAAGATCATCCTGGCACTATTTTGGGAGCAGGGGCTTGGCTGAGGGTGTTTGGCTCTGCAGGGAGCAGCAGAGGAAACTGCCCCCAGAGCTCAGGGGGAGCCTGCTGAGCCCCAAGCCCAGCTCCAGCTGTGTGGTGCTTGGTGCTGAGGGAGAGGATGCTGCTGGCAGCTGGAGGAGCAGATTCCCCAGGCGCAGGGAGGAATTCTCAGGGCAAATGGTGGCACTTCGTCCACAGCTGAGGGATTTGCAGCCTCCTTGTGCCAGCCCAGAGGTCCCGCTGGCCCCATAAATCAGGTTAGGATCTCCCATGGAAGAGACCTGCTGCTCCCACCCAGGGACAGATGTTGAGGGCTAAAGGGGTCAGCACCCAGGGACCGGGGAGCAGAGAGCTGGAAGGGACAGTGCCTACCCAGGGCCCCGAGCAGCGGCTGCACCTCCATAAATAACACCCCCATGCCAGGGCAGTGGAGGCAGAGCTGGGCACAGGGCCACGGGCCTTTGTCTTGTCATCATCCCTGGCGTGAGCGGGGGGACAGGTGGCAAGCGCTGACCCCGCTGCCATCCCAAACCTCCGCCAACCCCCAGGACGGCTCTGGGCTCCCCCTCTCAATCCCATGGAGATGGGCAGACAGGTTTTATTGTGGCAGTGGGGACTAGCAGAGGGTGCAGGACAGGGTGCAGAGGGTCCCCCTGCCTGAGACACGGCACAGGCAGCATCTGGCCAAGTCGGTGCTGGGCTTCCCTGGCGCTGTAAGAATATGTTTGATATTTAGTTGGTTTTCCAATAAAACAACCTAATATCAAACATATCAGACAGAGACAGGGGCAGACGGAGGTGGGAGGACGTGGAGCTCAGCAGCCTGTAAGAGAAAAAGAAGAATATGCTGAGAGCTGGGGTGGGAGTGATACCCAGGTATAACCCCAAAGGCACTGCAGAGGCAGCACCCATCCTCACCTCAGTGTCTGGAGCCTGCTGGGCACCTGTGCTGGTACTGGTACCCAGGTACAACCCCAAAGGCACTGCAGAGGCAGCACCCATCCTCACCTCAGTGTCTGGAGCCTGCTGGGCACCTGTGCTGGTACTGGGCCCCCCGAGGCACTGCAGAGGCAGCACCCAGCCTCACCTCAGTGTCTGGAGCCTGCTGGGCACCTGTGCTGGTCCTGGTACCCAGGTACAACCCCCGAGGCACTGCAGAGGCAGCACCCAGCCTCACCTCAGTGCCTGGAGCCTGCTGGGCAGCTGTGCTGGTACTGGGCTGCTCGGGATGCAGTGCTGGAGCAGGAGGCGTCCTGTGGCCGGGATGAAGCTGGAGCAGGGCAGTGCAGGCTTGGTCTCCTGGCATGGCACGTCAGGGCACACCGTGACATGCACTGGCATGGAGCAGCATGCCATGGCAGGCAGGGCTGAGGCCAAAGGGACCCCACATCCATCTCCATCTTACCTGGGCTGGCTTGGGGGACTCTGCTGCGCTCTGGCTCGGGGGTCGCCTGGCCGCGTTTATAACCGCGCTCGGCTGCACCGAGCAGGGGGACGTGGCCGGCGACAGCGCTGGCCCCGCACACGTGGCCTCGTTCCCATTAATTACCACCCATTGACGTCCCCCTGCCCCCCGCACGGACCCCCGCGCCCTTGCTGCCGGTCGATGCGGTCGATGGCCCCGCGCCGCCTGCTCCTGCCCCTGGTGACACTCCCTGTCATTAGCAGGGCTGTCAATAGCGGGGGCCAGCCCTGGCCTGTGGGCCCTGTGCCACCAAGGGGCTGCTGCACATGACCCTGCCCAAGGACGAGCCCCGTTGACGTGGGGGAGTTGTGCCTCACATCCCCTTGCTTTGGGGAGCTGCTGGACTCACAGGGGTGTCTCTTCCAAGGAGCTGCCTGTCACCCTGCTGCATCCATGGTGAGGATGTGGCTCCATCCATGCTGGGTGACTGAGGCAGGACCCCAATCCACACTGAGGCAGCTGCTGGGACCAGGGTAGTGGCACCCAGTGACAAGGGCACATGGGATATCATGGAGTGCCATAAGCACAGCCTTCCCACACCACAGCAGTGCTTTGCTGCTGTGGGACACATCAGCCTCAGGAATGGCACTGGGAGCTTTGAGGGACCAATGGGACAGGACATGGGGCAGCCAGAATCCTGAGCGCTTTGTGGGACCAATGGGACAGGACATGGGGCAGCCAGAATCCTGAGTGCCATGGGAAAGACAGGCACACAGCCCGGCCTTGGGGGTCAGGGGCTTCAGCCACGATGAGGTGGCAGTGGGGACAGCAGGGACACACGTGGCAGCAGCAGTGCCAGAGCCGGGGGCGTGTGTGGCGCTGGGTGATGTGATGCAGCCCGACAGCCGAGCTAATGAAGCGCTGTGGGGAGGGGGGCTGGCCCAGCAGCCGCCAGCCCTGTCAATAAACAGAGCCAGAGCAGGCACTGATGGGCCCTGGGGCTGGGAGACACCAAGGTCAGGCACAGAAGGGATGGGAGGTGGGGGACAGGGCCCTCCCAGCTGGGGAGCACGCAGGGATCCTGGGGTGCCTGGATGGGACAGGGAGCACTGCATCCAGCCAAGCCAGGTTCCTCTCCCTGCTGCTGCAGGGCTGTGCCACACAACCAGGAGCACTGCACGGTGCAGCAGGACTGTGCTGGGACAGGGACCCGTGTGGAGCACCCAGCCTGGTGAGCCATGCTGGCCGTGCTGCCATCTCCTGGCACAGCCATGGGCGAGATGGAGCGTGTAGGATCCAGGGCAGCCAGGCTTGCAGGCGACACGTCTGGATCCCAGCCACAGGAATTGTGCTGGGCCGTGTCTTCCCCCCACTGCTGCCCTGGGCTGTCCCATGCCTCACACGCAGCAGACACAGCCTGTCTTGCTCAACATGTTTTATTCTCAGTCAGGAGCTGGGAGATGCCAGGCCAGTGCCACACACTGGGCTGGGCACTCAGAGCCGCTCCACATGGAAGGCTTTTCCCTGCTGGCACAGCTCCTGCTGGTGCTGTAGGTGCTCATCCAGGACGAGCTGGCACAGGGCGTCTCGGCGGATCTGCCAGGCACAGGGGCAGTGCTGAACCCCCAGTGGCTCATCAGTGCTGGGAGACGTTCCACAGAACAAGGGAGGCACCACCCCTGGCAGCAGAGGGCTGGGGGACCCCAGCTGTACCCACACAATGCTCAGCCTCACCACTGCCTGCTCCCTGTCTGCAAGGTGCAGCTCCAGCTCCACACACTTCTTCAGCCGTGACTCCTCGATCCACTGCAGCACCCCGAGGGACGATGCCCAGCACTGTGGGTTCTCCCTGGCCCCCTGCCCGCTGTTGAGACACAGGGTGGGCAGGTCAGGGATGCAGAGATGTTCCCCCCAGCCTGCCCTGTGCTCCTCATTGCTCACAGATCCCCAGCAGTGCAGGGGATTCAGCCCCTCGGGCGCTCTGCCAGCTCTACCTCCTCAGGAACCCTGCTCCAGCATTCCCATTCGCCTGGACCTGCAAACAAAGAGCAACATTCGCGTGGCCTGGGGCTTAACCTGCACCAGGGCACACTGCAGCCCACAGCCTCTCAGGACAGCCTCCATTTTCCCAGCCCCTGCCCTGTCTGACCTCCTCCTGCCGCAGTGAGGAGCTCTGGCTGCTCGGTGCTGCCATGGCCGGCGCCACAGGGCCCCTGCAACGGCCCGGAGTTGATGGAGCACCTGGGCAGCAACGGCACCCTGGTTACTGTAACAGCCTCCCAGTTACTGTAATGGTGCCATCCTGGCCACCATCACTGCGTGCCAGGTACTGCCAGGGCATCTCAGTCACCACAGCCCCAATGGCAGCATCCTGCCTACCATTAATGGTGTCCTGGTTGTTTCATAGCAGCTTCACAGGATCACAGAATGATGAGGTTGGAAGAGACCTCTAAAATCATCACCCAATCTATGCCCTAACACCTCAACTACAGCACCAAGTGCCATGTCCAGTATTTTTTTAAACATATCCAGAGATGGCGATTCTACCACCTCCCTGGCAAGAGCATTCCAGTACTTTATTATTCTTTTGGTGAAAAATTTCTTCCTAATATCCAACCTATACTTTCCCTGATGTAGCTTGAGATTGTGTCCTCTGGTTCTGTCAGAGACCAACCTCCACCTGTCTCCAACCTCCCTTCAGGAAGCTGTAGAGAGCAATAAGGTCACCCCTAAGCCTCCTCCTTTCCAGGCTAAACAGCCCCAGTTCCTTCAAACGTTCCTCACAGGGTTTGTGTTCCCAGCCCCTCACGCATCTCAACGTCCTTCCTAAACTGAGGGGCCCAGAACTGGACACAGCGCTCAAGGTTTGACCTCACCAGCACCAAGTACAGGGGCAGAATGACCTCCCTGCTCCTGCTGGCCACACCATTCCTAATGCAGGCCAGGATGCCAGGATTCAGGGAGGAAGGGATGGGGCCCAGGAGTCAGAGGCCAGTGGCACACATCCTACTTGAGCTAAACTGTCATTTTATTAAACAGTAATTAAAAAGTGCCGAGGTCTGCACCCTCCACTCTGCGCTGCCCACGCCACAGGGTCGGGTGAGCTGCTGCCAGCGCTGCCCTCAGCCTGGCAGGACGCAGACTCCAGGTGGGGGCCACGAGCTGTCAGCCCCAGGAGCTCGGCAGACGCTGGCATGCGAGGCGCTGGTGAGAGTGGGAGCAAACACCCCCTTGGCAGAACAGATGGGACATTGAACACCGCTCTGTCCCCTCCAGACGTCCCCAAATGCCCTCTGGGTGCAAGAGAACGAGTAGAAACCTCAGCCCAAAGCGGTGGCGTAGCCGTGGTGCTAAGAACAGGCACCAAACTATTTCTACCCCATCCGGGAGCACAGGCAGGCTGGGCACAAAGGGCTGACAGCAGGAACGACGACGTCATGGGGAAAAGTGTTCACCCTTCAGAAAAAACAGACAAGTGGCTCCAGTGCCCGAGACCCTCACGGACAGGACGGACAAACGGCTCCCGCCAGCTGCCGCAGGGAAGGACGGGCGCAGGGGAGCGCTGGCTGGGATCCACGTCTTTATAAATAAGCTCAAGCTCATGAGTTTATTCACAGGGTCCAGGACAATGCAGGACTCAAAGGCTGGAGAGTCGCAAGCCCGTGGCAGAGAAGGCCGTGGGGCTGATCCCCGTGGGCTCAGCAGCTCCAGAACGGGCTCCTGGTGAGGGCCAAGCTCCAGCAGCTGGAATGGAGCCCTCCTCAAGTGATGACCTCCAGAGTGGGCTGAGGGGGAGATCTGAGAGTGCAGCTGGCTCCTCTCAGTGCTGCCTGCACTGCAGCCCAGACCCCCCCAGCAAACCCAGCCTCCTGCACGCTCACAGGGTGCTCTCCAGTGTGTTGTAGTTGTCCTTGAAACTCTTCAGCTCCAGGAAGTGTTTGGCACGTTTGCTCTTCTGGCTGGAAGGAAGGTAGGTGACCTGGATGGTGGTGGGGCTGGAGGCTTCAGGGGACAGCGTGAGGTCCTTCACTGCTGACTGGTGCTGCCTCTGGCTGCTGCCACCCCGGGCCTTGGTGCTGTGGGCAGAGAAGAGGCACCATCACTGCTCAGCTGCTCAGCCTGTGTGTCTGTCTGTCTGTCTGTCCAACACGACGCAAATCTGGCTTTTGCGATGACAGTGTCACAGACATCTTATCACGAAAAATCCTTTCCTTAGGATTTTTCCTCCTGAGAAGCTGAGAGGCCTCAGGAACAAAATATAAACAATGGTTATCTGCTGCTGTGGAATGCAACAGGTGCATCTGGGATTGGTCTGATGTGGTTGTTTCTAATTAATGGCCAATTACAGCCCAGCTAGCTCGGACTCTCTGTCCAAGCCACAAACCTTTGTTATCATTCCTTTCTATTCTATTCTTAGCTAGCATTCTGATGAGAACCTTTTCTTCTATTCTTTTAGTATAGTTTTAATGTAATATATATCATAACATAATAAATCAAGCCTTCTGAAACATGGAGTCAGATCCTCATCTCTTCCCTCATCCAAGAACCCCTGTGAACACAATGACAGCACTCACTGAGGTCTTGGCATCTAAAGCTGCTGGTTCTGTGCAAGTCCCTGACTCAAGGTGGTCAGGACAAGCAGGAATGGTGACTGTGAGCATGGAACAAACCCAAAAATGAAATAACACATGGGCTGCAAGGAAGGAGTGACCCCAGAGGGACAGATGGGCACAGACAGCTCCTGCCTCAGATGACACCTGTGCCCTAAACCCATCTCTGTCCACACCTTCCCACGAGCTGCAGGGGCCCAGGAACTCACCACTGCATCTGGCCAAGCAGCACTTACATGTTTGCCAGTTCATTCAGAGCCTCCTCATACTTCAGATATTCCGTTTTCCCAAAGACCTGGACACAAACAGAAAACACCACGGAACGTGGAGCTGCAGCGGGGGTGTGAGCTCAGTGCCAGCAGCAGGGCAGGGCACAGGAATGCCCTGTGGGCACAGCAGTGCCCCCCAGCACTCACCCCCGTGCCATAGCGGGCGCTCTCGTAGCCGTCCAGCAGGGTGTCGATCAAGGCCTTGCGGATGCCCTTGAAGGAGGAGCTGGAATTCCTCAGCTCCAGCAGGTAGGCACAGAAATTCTTCCCTATTAAAGACTTTGGGTACCGAGCCTCTGCTTGGAAGGGGATTTCTGGAAACAGGCCCAGGTAAAAAATGTTTGTGCTCATCCCTCAGGTCAGGAAGCACTGCCTGGGTAAATTCCCATCCATGCCCCAAGCCCCAGCACATCCAACCCTAAAGCCACCAGTGGGAGGCTGCTCTCTGTGGGCTGTGAGAATGGCCCCAGGTTTGAAGGAATAGAGGAGAAAATGCCAGGAGTAATTTCCATTCCATTACTTTTGAATCTGAGCAGTTCAGCAGTGGCACAGTGGCATCTCTGTGTGCTTTCATACCAGTGGGTGTGAAGGAACTTGCCTTTCCCCATCAGGGCTCAGTAACCTGCATTGAAAGGCAGGTGTGTGTCAGCTGGGGTTCCTTTCTGTCAGAGCAATGTGGGTTTTGTGTCTCTGGCCCTAAAGATTCATTTCTCAGTGATTCACTGATTGGTTTCTGTGCTGCTGCCCATGCCATGGTTTTGAGGGCCTTTTTTGTGTTTGTTTTTGTGGAGTTGGGCTTGGCTGCTGTTTCTCATGCAGGTGCTTGTCTCAGGCAAGCTGAGAACAGCCTGAGCAGCCCCAAGAAGAAGAGTGCTTGCTTAGGAGGAACCTTCCTGCATGCAGGGTGTCATTCCTTTTGTGACAAAGGCAGCAGAGAAGTGGGAGAAGTGACTTCAGTGGGAGAAGTGACTTCTCCTCCCCAGTGAGCACCTGGCACCCTCATTCAGGGTCCCTCTGCTCCCACTCTTGCCCTGGGCTCCCTCACCTGATGTCCTGATTGCATCCAGTGCCTTCATCCTGTACAGGTAGTTATAGCAGCCTGGAAAAGGGAAAGCACAAACTGAGATCTCTGCAAACCTTGGAGGGAAGTGGGGAAAGGGAAAACAGGAGAAGAGACAGCATCTCATGTGGCAGGGCAGCAACAGGAGCAGTCAGAGGCGTGGACTGGCCCCAGGGAGCAGCGCAGGACACAGCTCTGGCACCGTACCTGGTGTCTCCAGCTGCAGGAGCCGCCCATCATCCTCTGCCAGCAGCTGTGGCTCGTACTTGATGTCCTGCACCCTGGACAGTCGAATGTCAATCTCTTCCTTTAAATCCTGCACAGCAGCAAAACAACGTTTACACACCACCCCCTTTGTTTGTGGGATCAAAGGGACAAGAACAGCCCTAGATAAATCCTCACCACTGCCTCTCAGCACTCTGAGGCAGCAGCTCCTGCACGTCCCTCCAGGCACGGATGGGTGCAGGGAATGCAGAATACCCACCTTGGGTGCGTGCTGCCCCACAGGCACGTGGGGGCCGCGGCGGGACTTCATGGCGAAGCGCATGATCTGGCGTTTCACGAAGATGAAGAGCAGCACAAAGACCTGCGGAGCGCCAGCGGGGCGGGGGTCAGGGCTGCGCTGTGGGGGAGGTCTCACAGCCAGCCCGTGGCCACCCCTCCGGCCCCGGCGAGCACAGAGTTCCCGGTTCAGCCCTCTGGGACACCCAGGTCAGCCCCACGCCCTCCCCATCTCCACAGAGCTGCCCCTCACGTCTCCTCCCCGCCCCACCGACCCCATGAGGGCCCCGAGCCCGACTCCGAGGAGCTCCCCACGGGCAGCCCGGCCCGTGTCTCACGGGAGCCGTTTCGCCCCCTCAGGCCCGGGCCCACGGCAGCTCCACGGACGCGCCACGATCAGCCTCGCGGGGGCTCCACGGGCTCGCCCCGCTGACGCTCCAGCCCGTCCCGCCCCGTCCCGCCGGCGCTCACCAGGCTGCCGTAGGCCATGACCAGCACCACGTTGACCCCCGAGAGCCAATTGCTGCCGGCGCCCGCCATGCCCGGCCCGGCCCGGGGCCGCACAACATGGCGGCCACAAAGCCGCCCTGCGCGCCCACCACGTGACCGGAGGAACCGCGGCTCACGTGACCCGTACGGGGCCTCCGCAGCGGCCCCGCGTCCGTCACGTGCTCGGCGCGGGCGGCCCCGCCCCGCGCGGTCACGTGCCGGGGGCGGGGCCGGGGGAGTTGTCAGTGCGGGCGGACCCAGGTAAAGTTGCGGCGGCGGCGGCGGCGGCTCCGGTACCGCGCGGCCCCCGAACCCGCCCCCCGCCGGCTCCCGCCGCCGCCCCCCTGCCCGCCCGGCCTCGCCGCCTCCCGCCCGCCCGGCCCAGCTGCGGCCGGTGCCCCGGGGGCGGCTCTGAGCCCCGCCGCCGGCGCCGCTGGGCCCCGCGCGGCCTAGTGGGCCGGGCCGTAGCCGGGGGCTGGCGTAGCGCGCGGCCGCCGCAGGTGAGGCGGGCGGGCGGGCCGGCTGCGGGTGGGGGGGGTGAAATGGCGGCCGCGGCCATGAGGGCGGAAGCGGCCCGAACTCGCCCGCCTCTCCGTTGCGGGCCCGGCCTGGCGCGGCCGTGGGGGCTCCCGCCCGGCCCCGCCGGCTCCCTCCGCTTCGGTCCGGTTCGTTATCTCGTTACGAACCGCGGGTTGGGCCGCGGGGTCGGGCGGCTCCGACCTTGCCGCGCTCTCGGGGCCCGCCCGTCCCCGCCGCTGCCGGCGGTAACAATGGGAGCCGTGCTCCCGCCCTGCCGGGCTCCTTGCGGGCCGCCGGGCCCGCTCCTGCCGCCGCTCCTCGGGGCCGCCCCGTGGGCCGTGGCACGGCTGCTTCCGCCGCCCGCCTCAAATTCCCGGGCAGCGGCGGTTCGGGGGTCCTGCAGGAGCCCCGGGCCGCCGGTGCCGCCCTGCCCCACGTCCCTCCGTGCCGGCCGGGGGCTCTCCCTGCGCCCTCCGGCCCGGAACGCTCCCGAGCAAAGCGCTGCCTGTCGGTACCGAGTCGGGGTCTCTGATGGAATATCCGGGAGCATCTCCCTAAAAAAGATCACGGTTTGCATACATGGAATGATTCGGTTTGCGGCCACCATGTCTTTGCTCTGGGGAAAACTTCTTGTGTTGATAACCCCTATTTTTGGGTCCTCATTCTGCCCCATGTTGCAGGACAAGCTTTGCCTTCTCTGGCCCTTTCCTTTCGGGCTTTGGGGCTTTTTTGCACGTGTTATTAAGCTTTGTCAGAATGGGATGAAAATACCGTTTTTCTGTACTAACACACCAGGAAACTGAAACTGGGATGTGCCAGGGCGAGCAGCAGCCAGCAGGTCTGGCACCACAGATCCTGGTTCTGAAACTGTAACTTCTCTGACGTTTCTAATAAAATGAACAGTTTGTTACATTTTTGTATCCCCTCATTTTCTGGAGACTCCACACTTTCCTTGTGTAGTCGAGACTCTCCTCTTGAGGCCTGCTGGGAAGGCAGGGCTGAGAAGGAAAGGGGGTAACAGCAAATGTCTCATCTGATGCAGTGGCTTTGAGCAGGGGATGTTGTAACCTGTAACTGTGAAACTCCTTTGTTTTCCCTGAGCCCTGGAGTGCAGAGATGTTGGCCTGAGGTGTGAGCCCTGCTCCTGTGTGGACTGGCCACCACTCCCTTGGGCTGGAGCTGCTCTTTTAGCTCTTGCTGCAGGTTTGCTCTTTCAAGGGAAGAGGTGGAATCATTTTGATGAGAGCAGCTTTGCTCTGGGAAGTTGCAGGCTTTGGGGTTCTGTGGGGCACTGAGCTGATCCCCAGTTCCCCCAGTGAGGAATGAGTTCCCAGTAGGCAAATCCTCTTTCCCCAAGGCTGCTGTGGGGTCTGCATGGGGACACCTCACCTAACAGCCTCACCAGAGGCAGCCTTTTTGCCACAGATGGTTTTTTTATGGGTTTTCAGTATGTGAAAGGACAAATGCTTGTGTTTTCCTGGTGGCAGCTGCTGAGCAATGCCTGGGCTGCACGGGGTTTGGGCTCAGGCTGCTGGAGCTGCAGCCCAGAGAAGCTGCAGCTTGGGTTTCTGGGTGAAATCACTTCAATCCCTTCCCTCTGGGCCCGTGGTTCTGCTGCTGGGTTGGTTTAGTACAATGAATTGTGTGTGAAACTTACAACTGGAAGAAAGTAAAAATAAACATATACCATGGGAAAGGAGCCTGCCCAGAGGGGATGGCTGGGGAGAGAAGGCTTTGTCTGCTCTGCCTTGGCACAAGTGCAGTCCTGGTGCTCTTCCTTGTACCTCTGGGGCTCCTGGTAGCTTGGATTGTTTCCTCAGAAGGGACCTTGGCACTGGATAGCTGTAAAACTGTGATGTGAAGTTGCCACGAGGCATGGGTGGCTGTGATGGGGGGATTTGGAGGTTTTGTGGGGAGCTGCAGGAGCAATTGCACAGAAATTGCCTGCAGAGAAAGGCCAGGCACTGGTGGGAGCAGCTGTGGGGGTGTAGAGGCAATGTCAGGAGGGATTTCTCACCCATTCAAACTTCAACAGGAGATTCCCCAGCTTTTCCTGCACTGTTTGCTGATGCTGCTTCCTTGGCACTCTGTGTTTTCCCTGTGCTGTCCTGCTCATGGTCAGCAGTGTTTCAGATCAGATCCTGCCCTGATTGCCTTGCTGAGCTCTCTGCTCTCTGTTTCTGCACTCTGTGGCTTCTTCCCATGTCCCTTGTGTCTGCAGGTCCTGCTGCTTTGGGGGAAGGCTTTGCACTCTTAGGAATGAAATACAAAAATGTGAATTCTGTGATTATTGAAATTTCAGGAGCTCAGAAGCTGTGAGTCCTGACAAATGCTGTGGGATGTCTCTCACATCCTTTTTGCCAAAAAGGCACTAAAGAGGGTAAAACCTCAGTGCTAATCCCTTTCCAACACCCCTGCCCTGAGGCCCAGTGTGAGTTTAGAAAACTCTGCTTGCTTTGGACACTCCAACTTTTCTTGGGATTTTTTGCCTCAAGCAATGTTATCTAACAGTGTTACTGCCTGTTATTCCTTGCAGATATCTTATTCACATTTTAGTATGTTTGTGATCAAAAATACTAGGAAAAATTTTGGTTTTCCAGTTCAAGGGAATAATTTAAAAAAGGAATAATAGGCGCTTCTGCAAGGGCAGGTTTTCCTTAAAACAAAAATTCCACAGACCTGTAGCACCTCTTATTGCAAGAAAAGAAAGGAGAAGGAGAAGTAGCTGATGTGTCTGAGGGTCTGAGATGCTCTGTCCTGCAATTGATGTTTTTTTGAAGCTTTTTTCAAGCCTTCCTGCTCCATTTGATGGCCACAGCCTCAGCCTGGGTGCATGGCAGGTCTGTGCCCACTCACACGTGTTCCAACAAGAAGTTGTTAAACTCTTTGCCTCAAGTCCAGGGAATGGCTTCAGACTGAAGGAGGGTCAGTCTAGATTACCTGAAAAAGAGTTTTTTTTACAATGAGGGTGGTGAGGCCCAGAGAAGTTGTGGCTGCCCCACCTCTGGAAGCATTCAAGGCCAAGTTGGATGGGGTTTGGAGCTACCTGGGCTGTTGGAAGGTGTCTCTGCAGGGAGGTGGAACTGGGTGAGCTTCAAGGTCCCTTCCAACCCACACCAGTCTGTGAATCTGTGATTTTCCTTTGGCTCCTGGTGCCTGATTGCTCCCACCTGGATGCAGGTGACACTCCAGAGAGAACCCTCAAGCAGTACAAGTGGCCATTTTGTGTTGGGAGCACGTGGTGGTTTTGGGGAAGTGCTGGGGAGGGTGGGGACCTGCAGCAGCCATTCTGGCTGTGTTACCTTTGTGATTGTTCACTCTTGCTGCTGATTTTGTTTGTGCTATCTAACAGTGTGTTCTCTCTTCTCCCCTGCCCCACCACAGAGTTGAACCTTGTAAATACTGTTATTTGTATATACTGTAAATGATGACATCGGTGGGCACCACCCGAGCCCGGGGCAGCTGGGAGCAGACACAGACACAGAGCCAGACGCAGCACAAGCAGCGGCCACAGGTAAGGGCAGGCTCCAGAGAGCCCAGAGGACACCTGGCTGCTCAGTGCTGACAGCTGGGCTGGCCTGAATGAGCTCCCCATGTGCCACAAGGTGCTGCTGGCACTGGGGTTTCCATGTCTCTCTTCAAGTGGGAGCTGCTGCTCAAATTTGGTTTTATTTCCATTTGTCCGTTCCTCGCACACTTTAATGAATGTAAGTGGCACAGAAGCCACCTGGGTTGTGGTGGTGAGGTCTGCCCCAAAACAGATGTGGTTTGGGTGGCTGCTGTTCATGTGGTGCTATGAGGCCAGCAGATATATCCCTTCAACAGTATATCCCTTTCTTCCAGACTCCTCTTCTTTCTTGTTTTTCATCTCACTTTTTCCCTGGAATTCTCCTTCTCTGACCCTTGTTTTTGCCATATTGATTCCTTTCCAGCGTTTCCAGAGAACCTGGGGTAGCAGAGTGGTCTCTGGAGGGTGGTTTGGGAATGCAGCACTCTGACAATGTGCTCTGTCTCTCCCTGGTTCCTTTAGGCTACTGCAGAACAGATTCGACTTGCACAGATGATTTCGGACCACAACGATGCTGACTTTGAGGAGAAGGTGAAACAAGTGAGTGTGAAAATGAAGGTGAACTCTGACAGGGAGCTGAGATCAGCCCTGGGAGTAGTGTGAATGCTGGGGGGTGGGAGGGACACACCTGGCTGCTCCCTGAATTTCCTTGGACTGCCTTTATAAAGCTGTATCATAGCATGGTTTGGGTCAGTAGGGACATTAAAGGGTATCCAGTTCCACCCCTGTGCTGTGGTGATCTCTTCCACTATCCCAAATTGTTCCAACAGTGCCAGGGCCTCACCATCCTCACAGGGAAGAATTTCTTCTCAATAGCCCATATAACCCTGTCCTCTGGCAATGGAAAACCATTCCCCTGTCCTGTCACCCCAGGCCCTTGTCCAAAGTCCCTTTCCAGCTCTGTTGGAGCCCCTTTAGGCCCTGGAAGGGGCTCTGAGGTCTCCCTGGAGCCTTCTCTAAGCTGAGCACCAGCTCTCCCAGCCTGTGCCCAGAGCAGAGGAGCTCCAGAGCCCTCAGATCATCTCTGTGGCCTCCCCTGGGCTCACTGCAGCAGCTCCTTGTCCTCCCTGTGCTGGAGGCAGCTCTGCAGGGCAGGGTCTCAGCAGAGCAGAGGGGCAGAATCCCCTGCTGGATGAGCCCAGGGCAGTGTTGGCTTTCTGGGCTCCCATGTGGTCAGGTTTTACTGTTTTCTCAAACCCCAGATCCTTCTCCTCAGGGCTGCTCTGCATTCATTCTCCCCCAGCCTCCCAGCCTGTGTTTTTGTTTGGCATTGCCTTGATTTGGGTGCAGCAGCTTCTGTGGTGCTGAACTTTCAGTTTGTTTGTGCAGGTAACAGTGTTATCCTGAGCAAAGGAGGTTGTAGTGGAAGGAGGGTCATGGTAAAACAATGGTAACTCAAAAATGCACATTTCTTGTTGAGGAACACAGTTAAGCTGAGAAGGCTGGGGGGATTCCCTAGCTCTTCAATTTTTTGTTGAAAAGTTTCTGGTTTGGGATTCAACTCCCTTTCCTCCTGAGAGACCCCTAGAGATTTTGGTGCCATCTTGGTTTGGAACATGCTGACCATGGTGTTGTTTTCTCTGCAGCTGATTGACATCACAGGCAAGAACCAGGATGAGTGTGTGATTGCTCTGCATGACTGCAATGGGGATGTCAACAGAGCCATCAATGTGCTGCTGGAGGGCAATCCTGACACGGTAGGGCTGGCTCCTGGAGATCTCCAGAGGTCTGGTTCAGTCTGACTGCCTGTTTGCAGCTGAGGCATCCAGGAATGTGCAGATAATGAGAGCCACTGTGGCTGAGTAGTTCCACAGTGTGGCTGTGACCTGGCTGCTGAATGCTGCTCTCTGTGGGCTGTGAGAATGGCCCCAGGTTTGAAGGAATAGAGGAGAAAATGCCAGAAGCAATTTCCCTCCCATTACTTTTGAATCTGAGCAGTTCAGCAGTGGCACAGTGGCATCTCTGTGTGCTTTCACACCAGTGGGTGTGAAGGAACTTGCCTTTCCCCATCAGGGCTCAGTAACCTGCATTGAAAGGCAGGTGTGTGTCAGCTGGGGTTCCTTTCTGTCAGAGCAATGTGGGTTTTGTGTCTCTGGCCCTAAAGATTCATTTCTCAGTGATTCACTGATTGGTTTCTGTGCTGCTGCCTATGCCATGGTTTTGAGGGCCCTTTTTCTGTTTGTTTTTGTGGAGTTGGGCTTGGCTGCTGTTTCTCATGCAGGTGCTTGTCTCAGGCAAGCTGAGAACAGCCTGAGCAGCCCCAAGAAGAAGAGTGCTTGCTTAGGAGGAACCTTCCTGCATGCAGGGTGTCATTCCTTTTGTGACACAGACAGCAGAGATGCAAGTACTGTTACAGGGCAAGAAAATGCCTGGGAAAACCACTGCTGATATCACCTATCCTCCTAGCACCCTGGTTTGCTTGGAGCCAACTCAGCTCTGAGTTGAGAGTCTAAATATCATTTTAGAATATTCTGCTTTAGCTCATTTTTTTCCCTGTGATGAGCCCTGGGGGTATGTGGGTGAGCTGGACACCTCAGATTATATTTTGTGTATTGCAGCTGCTCCCCAGTGTCTGGTTCTCTGCTTGCTTTGGCTTCAGACAAGTTCTGTACAACACATGTATGCATTCCTCCTTGTCTTTAGGAAGCTCTTTCCATTGATAACTGAATAAATTAACTTTTGGAAATCCTTTTAGAAAAGGGAATGGTAGGGGTGTATTGCTGAGGTACAGCTCTGCCACAGCTGTGTTCTCCTCCACATTTTTTGTAACCAGTGACTTCTAGTCAGGAACAAACCCCTGCTATCACAGCAGTTTAGTTAGCTGGAGAAACCCATTGCTCATGAGAGCAGCATCCAGGACAGTGTGCAGCAGCACCTCCTTTATGGGATGAGCAGCAGGAGCTCCAGGGCCATGGAGAGGATGGCAGGGAGCTGGTGGAGGAAGTGCTGGGCTGCCACTGATCAGACTGGTGGCCTTGTGGTCACAGCATCTCTGAGCACAAGCAGCCCCTGCAGTGCCATTGGTCAGCACCTTGGAGCTGCTTCTGAGTCTGGTTTGTGCAGCAATCCCAGAAAGGGGATTTTTTTACAAGAAACAGACATGGAGCAGGTATGATCTTAGCATTGGATTAAACTTGATTAAAAAAAAAAAAAAATTACTTGAAAAATGTTTACTTGGAATACTGTAGTTTTAAAGTTTATTTCTAAGGCAGATACCTATGGAGAAAGACTGTGGAAGCCTTGGGTTTGATGGCAGTTTGTGCCACTGTGTTGTTGGGTTTTTTGTCACTGTCCCTGCATGCTGCCATTGAAACCCAGCTGTCTGCCAGTTCTGCTTTCAGGTGATTGTAAATGACTTAAGACTATTTTTAATTGTTCCAACAGTGTGCAGCATCAGTTTTAAGAGTATGAAACCACTGCAACTGTTAGAAGATACATGGGTGCAGGTCCATGGCAGTGAGCTGGAGGCAGACTTAACATTTTGCAGCTGAACTTGGTTAAATTCTGTGCAAGTTGGTTAAATTCTGTGATGCTTCTCTCCATCTCAGATGATTTAAGGGAGAGGTTTTTTTAATAACTTCGCATCTGCTGAAAGAACTTAGCCCAAATGTTGACTGCAGATCACTATGAAACATTTACCTGAGTTATTCTGAGAGCTCCTGGTGAGCTGTGTGAAATGGCAGGCTTTTTTTCCCCCTAAGCAAGGTAAATATATCCATGTTTGAATTCTAGAAGTATCATGCCATCTCTGTTGAAGAATTTTAGTAGATCTTTGCAGAAATGGAATAGCTCATCTCCTGTTACCTCAGATTGTGTGCTGTAAGAAAGCTTGGCTTGAAGGAGGATGATGTGCTGTGTGTAGACTGAGAGACTCCTTAAAAAATTGATCTGGAAGCCATTTTTGAGGAGAGCCCTGTTACATTCTCTGTAGCACCTTTAAATCTTCATTTATTTGCACCTTTCATTGATCTGACTGGCATTCATTTCTTTCCCCTCTGCAAACTTCCAGCATTCCTGGGAGATGGTTGGGAAGAAGAAAGGTGTCTCAGGACAGAAGGAGAGTGGACAGACAGAACCCAGTGAAGAAAGCAAGGAGAACCGGGATCGGGAGCGGGATTTCAGCAGACGACGTGGAGGGCTGCCGAGGCGAGGCCGAGGTGCCACCCGTGGAAGAGAGTGTATGGAGCTTCCCTTTAATAACCCCAAAACCCTCCCACTGAAGCACTGTGCTGTGTAGCACACAGCAGAGCCAAATTTTGGGCAGACACATCTGTGTGTGTGGATCTCTTCAATGCTCCCCTGTCTGAGACGATTCTTTGCGTGATGGCCTCACCATCAGCTTAAATCAGCAGTTCAGGGAGCACGTGGTGATCTGCTCCCCCACACAGCCACGGCATTTTGGGCTTTGAGATGTGGTTTAAAGCAGGATGAGTCCTGAAATTGTCTTTGCTTTGTTCTGTTTCAGTTAGGGGCCAGGAGAATGGATTAGATGGTGGTAAGAGTGGAGGATCGTCTGGAAGAGGCACAGAAAGAGGGAGGCGGGGACGTGGCCGAGGCCGAGGTACACACGGCATGTGGGGTCCTCAGGGGGTGGGAGGAGGAGAATTCTATCAGTAAATCTATCTCCCATGAGGTTCCAAAGCCTCTTCTATGGGAGGAGTTGCCAAACTGAGCATATGCACTTGATTTTTCTGTTCTTGTGCTTACTTTTAATATCTGCATGTTGCTTTCCCATCTTAAAGATGATAGAAACAGCACCTGGTTCTTGGAGTTAGGATAAATAAAAGTGCTTTATTATAGAGGTGGACAGTGAAAAACTCAAGGTTAACTTATTTTAGCAGGTGGCCAATAGCTTGTTAGCAGCAGAACCTGCATCCTCATCATCATTATACATGTATCTGAGCACTACTACTGGCTTGGACTTTAAATACTTGGGGCAGAAATTAATTTTACCCCAAAATCTACTTCACATACTCTAGAAATCAGAATCTGGGGTCCAGTACTTCTGATTTGTGCCAGCTGGGCACCTCATGTTAGCCTGGATTGATGCACTGCTAATCATGCTGCCGGCCAGCTGAGGTCACTCCCACACATCAAAAGATGTTGCTGGCAATCCCATCAACCCAGGAAAATCCTCTCCACGTTCATATTCTGGACCTGTGTGTGTTGTTCAAGTGTTTCTTTGCCCAGGGATGTAGAGCCAAGGGGCAGCAGTGCATGTGTGTGTGTTTACAGGTGGCTCTGGACGGCGAGGGGGAAGATTTTCTGCCCAAGGCATGGGGTGAGTTTCACTGACATAAAGCACAGCAAAAATAAAAGTCTGTGCATGAATGGTACTGTTAGTGTCAGTCATTTCTGTTCCCATTTTCTTTTTTTTGTTGTTGTTGTTGTTTTTGTTTTGTTGGGTTGTTTTGGTGGTTTTTTTGTTTTGTTGTTTGTGGGTTTTTTTGGTGGGATTTTTTTTTTGTTTTGTTGGGTCTTTTTGGTTTTGTTTGGTCTATTTATTTTTTGGTTTTGTTGGGTCTATTAATTTTTTTGGGGTTTGGTTGGGTCTATTTATTTTTTTGGGGTTTGGTTGGGTCTATTTGTTTTTTTGGGGTTTTGTTGGGTCTATTTAGTTTTTGAGGACCTTTTTGTTTGGGCTTTTTTGAGGACCTTTTTGTTTGGGTTTTTTTGAGGATCTTTTTTGTTTGGGCTTTTTTAAGGATCTTTTTTGTTTGGGGTTTTTTTGAGGATCTTTTTGTTTGGGCTTTTTTGAGGATCTTTTTTGTTTGGGGTTTTTTTGAGGATCTTTTTGTTTGGGGTTTTTTTGAGGGTCTTTTTGTTTGGACTTTTTTGAGGATTTTTTTGTTTGGGCTTTTTTGAGGACCTTTTTGTTTGGTTTTTTTTTTTTGTTTCTTTTTTTGTTTTGTTTGGGGGGGTTCTTTTGGTTTTTTGGGGGGAGGGGGAGTTGTTTGGGTTTTGTTTTTTTTTTTTGTTAATAAGGCCCAAGCTGCATCACAGTAACTTAAACTCGAGATGTCTGGTGTAGCTGAAGCATCTCTCTGCTGAGAGAGCTGCCTTGTGACTTGTATTATACTCTGAATAAAATCAATTGCTTTCAAAACTCTTTAACAGAGAGTTTTCATTTCCATCCTCTTGTTTCTTGCAGAACTTTCAACCCAGCTGACTATGCTGAGCCAGCCAGCACGGATGAGAACTACGGGAACAGCAACAACACGTGGAACAACACCGGGAGCTTCGAGCCGGATGATGGCACAAGTAAGAGCCTTGCCATGAGTGTGTGCTGCCTTGTAGTGACTGTGTGAGGGGGATTTGCCTCCATCCAGTTGCACTGAGGATGTTCTAGGCAGGTTTAGGCTCAGGGATGGAAGAACAGGTTGCTGGTTCAGAGATGGATTTCAGTGACCCTGGTACTTTGCACCCTTTGCACGTTAGAAACGGGAGCTGGGTGATTGCTCTGGGGTGAGCTTGTGGCTGCTGTTGCCTGACAGAGGCACAGGAACACTCACTTCTATTTGTTTTCCTGTAGAAACCATGCTACTGCTTGGAAAGTAGCAGTATGTTTTCTCTTTTTTATAAACTGTTGTGTGATAGGCAGATCCAAGATCTCCAAGTGTTTGGTGCATCCTCCAGAGAATTACTCAGAGTTAGATGTATTGCTCTTCATTTTGGTACTGAGAGCATTCTTGCTTTCATGGTCATCTTGCTCAAACCATGGTGGGGATAGGATTTTGTTACAGAAAGGAGCTGAAAGCAATTCTGCTTCCTTCCCTGTTTGAAGCAAACGTGTTTGCTGGGTGATTCTGAGCACCCAGCTGCCCTCTGCACATTTTGCATTGGAAAACTGGTGCTCTGGGTTTTGTTTCATGTCTGCACAATATTGAGAGCTCAGATTTTGCAGTGTGAGAATGGGACTGTCACAGTCCTTGACTGTAAAGAGCCTTTTTTGAGGGGGAAGGAGGGCAGGGCTCATTGGTGCTTTTGTTGTCTTTTTTATGGAGCAATCTGGCACCCCTGCAAAGTCAAACTATTTTTCCACAATCACTGAGTATTTAATTAAATACCATGTCTTGGGTATAAGAAGCATCCACACCTGTGTTAATGGTGCTTTAGAACCTTTCCATACTTCTTGGTTTTGCTGAAAAACTGATAGGTTTGGAAAGAGACTGCCATTATCTAGGGGATACCTTTTACCATAGTGTTGGTGTCAAGGAGAGGAGTGGGGGTGGTTCTTTTGTGTTTTCATGGGTTTTGTTTGGGTTTTGTTCATTTTTTTCCTTCAGAAAACAGCTATTGTGGCAGGAGGGTGTTTTTATGAAACACCAGCAGACAGAGTGATCATCTTGGCAGCTGAGGAGGGGTTTTAAATACCAGAGGGAGTGGACACAGCTCTGTGTGCTGGAAGTTTAACTGTCTAGGGGGAACAGGCTTCTGTTTGAATGGTTTTCATTTCCCTGTGTTGGTGTTTTGTGGAATTGTGGAATGAAGTGGGTTAGAGTGTGGTTAAGTGGGAGAACTGAAGATTTTTCTGACAAACAACTCAGATTTGCTCTAGTACTCCAACACAGCTGTAAAGTTTATTGTGCAACACCACTGGTCACCTGTGTTGTGTGTGGTTGTTTTGTTTGCAATTTAGTAGCCACAGGCATCTCTTTAAATTAATAATATCCACAGGTACAATGTGACTGGTGTACATGGGGGCAATGAAACTCACCTACACTTTTTTTGAAGTCAAAATTTCACTGGTTGTCTTTCTTTTCTTTTTTTTTTGTTTCAGGACTTGATTTCATTGGGGGTGAGGGGTCAAATTATCCCCGAAAATTTGACACTGCTCCTGGTACGATACATCCAGGTGCACTAACTGCCCCGGATACCTTTACTTTATAGCTTTTTTTAAAAAAATCTGAAATATCTGTGGATATGTCATTCTTCTCTCTCTTAATTTATTCATTTGAATTAATATTTGACTTTGTTCTGACTGTGCTTTTACTAACGTTGACACTTTGAATGTAAATTGGGAGGAGCTAACAGCAATTCCTGTGGATTATGCAAATTTTAACTTCAGCCATTGCTTCTGGATGCCCAGAGCAGCTCTGGTGACAGAGGGCAGGAGGTGTGAGGCAGCTCAGTCATACTCCCTGTGTCTCAGATGCCCAAAACTGTGACTTGCTGGTGTCCCTGTGCCATTCCTCCTCATCCTCATTCCCTGCTGTTCTGCTCAGGGTCACAGCCCTGCTGCTCTGCCTGGGCTCTGTCTGTGCTTTGCCTCTGCTTTTGGCTGCTGCTGGGTGGGCAGGGCCCAAAGGCTGCTCTGGCATGCTCAGCCTGCCTGGCTGCTCCTCTGCACCTCCCTGCAGCTGAAGATGATGGTGGCTTTGGAGATGACAGGGGTGCTTGATGGCAAAGCTGCTCTGTGCCTGCCACTTGATTTCCTGCTCAGATATCATCCTTAGGAGGCCAAGAGACACCCAGGAGGGGATGCAGTTTGCTCACATCTGCAGAATTCCATTGTGTCCATAATCAGGCCAACATCTTGTTTGTCTCCTCCATCTAACCTGAGGTTTTGAAGTTGAGGCTAAGGGAGCTTCCAGAAGAATTTGCCATTTTCCTCTTGAAGGGCAGGGCAGGAGGAGAAGTGTTGAGGCTGAGGAGTCTCTCCTGCAAGGGCCTGAAAGCAGGCAGACACACACATGGAGAGCTTCTGCTGTGTTGGAGCATTTTGGGTTAATCTTTAACTTCCCCAGGCAGCACAAGGCCATCTGCTCCTGCACTGCCATTGTGGTTTTGCTGCCCTTTGGCTTTGTTTGGATTAGAATTCCTTCGAGGTGCAGCGTGGGGGCCTTTGGGTGTGTTGCCTTCCTAGTGCAGGGTGACAAAGCCTGGATCCATTCCTGCCTGTTGCGCTGTGGGAGGAGCAGGCTGTGTGTCTCCCAGTTTAAAATCAAGAGAGAGTGGATTTGGGGAGGGATTTCAAAAACTTGGAGACACAATTGGATCTATTTTTCCTTCACCACATTCATATTTGCACATGTTGTTGGCTTAATTTTATTTTTTTCCTCTTTTTCTTGGTTTGAGGAGCTTAAAGACCAGCAGCTTTTTGAAGGGCTTGCTGAAAGCAGAGAGGAAGGCTTGCTGCTCACCACCCTTCTGAAATGGTGTTAGAGGGCTCAGGGTATTGCTTGTGTTGCAGCTCTCCCCTTCAGAAGAGCTTGATGGAGAGTGATAGAGTTGGTTTTTAACAAAAAGCCTCCCATGCTGTGCTAGTTGGGAGCTTTCTGGAGTGTTCCTGGTGAACACATCACAGATCTTTGATTCTCCATGTGCCCCTCGAGCCATGCTGAGTCAGTGTCTGCTCTTTGTGGAGTAGATTTGCTGGGAAAGCCCTGTCAATGGCTGTTCTTCATCTGCAGGGTTTCCTTCTGCTTTTAGTGCTGCTTTTCTTCTCTTTTCCCCAAACAAACAAGACTTAAGAGCCCCATGCTGTGTTCCTGCATGCACAAACTCTTGGGGCAGCTCTCCTGTCTTCCTGCTCTCTGGGCCAGGTACATCAGCTCCCACTTCACCTCTTGGGTCAGTCTTGGGCTAGAATGACCTTTCTGAGCCATGAAAATTTGGAAAGCAGCCTTCCCACTACTGCTCTAAAGGCACCAAAAATCTCAGAATTGTGGGAATTCAGGTTTCTAAACTGCAGATGGGTTTTGCATTGGATGTGTTCTGACTGTGGAGGAAGGGGCAGTGTGCCTTAAAACTCCTGGCACTCTGGCAAGTATTGTTGTATTAATATCCGTATTTCAGACTTGAATATATAAAACAGTAAATCCTGGGAGACTTCTTGAATTGGCTCAATTCATCAAGCAAGACAAAAAAAAAGAGCAATGAAAAAAGAATAATTCACTGATACTTATTTCATGTACTAGATCCCCCAAGTCTAGACAAGTGGTTATTTAAATAAAAAGTGAAGTTCTGTATGGGGAGATCTGTGTCCTGCAGAAGAGCTCAGAATGTTCTCCTTCCCCACATGCTTTGTTTTATGCTGTAAAAGGGCTGATACCAGCTTGTTCCATCCTGTGAGTGTCTTCAGGATCAACCCTGCTGGTGCTCTCAGATTTTCTTGATCTGGTTTGTGTGAACTGAAAGCAAGCTGCACAAAATGGGACTGGCTTTATGCTCTCAGGTTTTTGGGGATGTGAAAGCTCCTGTTCTCTTCCCAAACCAAATTTTAGTTGTTAAATGGAATCTGAAACTGACACATAATATTCAAAGTACAACAATTAAACTGTGATGGAGGCAAGGATTGGACCAAGTTGAAAATGCAGCCAGGCAAAACTCTTTATTTTCTGGTAAATTTTTGCTCACCTAAATTGTGCTGTGCTGGATTGCAGCTGAGGTTTCCTGCTTTTCTCCCTGGTACTTCAAGCTGCACACTTTGAGCATATCTCTGAACCTGGTCACAGAAAAGGCAGGAATTGTTTAGTCCCATAAATTTTCTTTTCTGAATCCCATTTGCCTGAGCACAGGAGGTTCTGGAGCACTGAGGTTTCAAAATTTTTTTTTTTTTGTGGGGTGGAAGATGAACTATGGGAATGGCTCAGTTATCCTTAAGTTTTATAGAAACTTGATGTTTACCTGGATGGTGAAATCCTGTGCCAGAGCTGGCAGGAAGGGAGGAGCTGCTGGGGTAACACTGCTTGCACAAACCTTCAGCTACTGCAGTACAAGGGGAGCCAGGAAAATGGCACAAGGAGGCTGGGGATGATGCTGGGGCTTCCTTGCAGAGCTCAGCTTCCCTTTTGGGTGTTGGGAAGGTGTGTGTTGCCCTGTCTGCCAGCCTGGCAGTCTCTTTTTCATCCCAGCAAGGCAGAGGGGATCCCATCTTGACTATAAAGCCTGGGTTGAGGTTGACTGCTTTAACTTGTCTGATTGGCAATTAGAAATCCTCCTGGCTGCCTGCAAAGCTCCCCAGTGCTCCCCCAGCTGTTGGACACAGAGCTTTGATGCATGCATGCATAACTTCTGTACCTGTTGTTGTCCTTACAGGTGCATGGAGGGCGGCGACAGAAGAATGGGGCACGGAGGACTGGAATGAAGATGTAGGTATTTCCTGAAGCCATCTCCTCTGTGCATCTGCCAGCAGGCTGCTGTCCTGTCTGCACACACAGAGCTGCCAGCTCATCCTCCCCAAACTGTGGACAGAACCCCAGGAGCTCTGATGAATAAATAATTGTTGCATCTTCTGCAGGATAGATGTTCTAGAGCTTATGGGCCAAGCCTGGAGGAGATCTCCTGGGGCATTGAGGCTGCTCCTCTAATTTCCTGTAACTGCTGGATGGAATTCTTCCCAAAACTGGCCTGACTCCACACAGGGCTCTTGCTCCACTCCTCTGGTGGTGTGGCAGCTGGGGAAGTTTTGCTTTTGATCACACCAGCAGCAGTTTCATGGTTTCATGCACATCATGTGCCTCAGCTGGTCCTTGTGATTTGAATGAAGCTCTTGACTTTACCTTCTGACTTGCTCTTTGGTGTGTCTCACCACCTTGTGTTCTCTCCCTCATCTCCTTCAGGAGAGAGTGGGCATTGATAGCACCTTCTCTTAATGCCTGTCTATAAATTTCTCTGAAATGGGCTTCAGTCCCTCTCTGAACTAAGGAGGGACTTCTGTTCTGGCAGATGGGAGCAGGGTTGGGCATTTTGGTGTGATTGTTAGTTCTGTGTGCTCATTTTGGCTCAGCTGACAGAATGGGCAAGCATGGCAGGCATTTCTTTGCCAGGCACCACCTGGGGAAGCACTGCTGCTGTGTTTGGAGATAGGAGCAGCTTTTCTTTGTTCAGTCAGGTCTCTGCTAGAAGGGAGCTTCTGAGAGCCTTTCTTACCCTCAGTGCGTGTGAGATGCTCTCAGAAGTTCTGGATTTACTTCTTGAACTCTGGCAGTTCAGTTTGTAGCAGCTGCTCAGTCTGGAATAGAAGCTGTTCATGTTCAGACATGTTTCAGGCCATGTTTCACAGGTCCTCACTCACCTCCACCAGATTTTGAGCAATGTTATCTTCCCTTCCATGGCTGATCTGTTGGTCAGATCATCCAAGTGAGCCCAGATCATTGGAAGCTTAGCTATGGATCCAAAGTTTCTCTTTGCTACAGTGCTTGCCCCTACTGTGCTGGGGCTTTTGCAGGTCTCTGCTGCATGCCACTGACTCAGAGCAACAGCCCAGAGTCCTGGGGCAGCCCTAGGGGATTTATGGACTATGGGAAATTTGTAGAAGCATTTGAGAGGTTTTCTTTCCCCACTGGCAGATGATTTGTGCACTTGCCTGAGATAAACAAATTAAATAGAATCTGATTCTGATGGGAGCCAAATGCTAGAGAAGTTTCAGTCTAAGCACTTGAATTTTTAGTTTTTCTGTGGCTGTTTGTCTCAAACATTCATGTGCTTTGTGTCATAGGAACTGTTTTGAGGTGCTGTTCTCACTTCTGGATCCTTTTTTTCCTTTTTTCTCTTTCAGCTGTCAGAGACAAAGATCTTCACAGCCTCCAATGTGTCTTCAGTGCCTCTCCCTGCTGAGAATGTGACAATCACAGCTGGACAAAGGTGAGAGCCCTTGGTGATGCTGTTTACCTGGGAAAAGTGGCACATGAGTCTGGGAGCAATTTGCCATCTTCAGCTAAACTTTTCTAGCTAGCTAAAATGCAGCAGCTCTGAATGAGGTGGGTGGATTTCAATGAAAGTTGATTTAGGAGTTATTGGGTCCTAATCCTGGATTAGGGTTATAATTAGAATAGGCTCTATTGCTAGTTCTTTAGGTTTGGAGGCTTTTTGCTGTGTTAAAATAATGTAAATTTAAAATTATTTAAAATCAAAGGCCATGCAGGGTCTTGCTTGGTCAGTCTGTCTTTTTGAGGCTGCTGCTGGCAGTTGTGAGTTAGTGTTCTGTAGATTCCTTTAATTTGTAAAGTGAAATCTGTGAGGCTTGAGGGGGAATCTGTTCCCATGGCAGTGGGAGCTTTGTTAACCTCAGTGGGTCTTTGTCTACCCAGAATTGATCTGGCAGTCCTGCTAGGAAAGACACCCTCTTCTATGGAGAATGAGTCAACAAACCTGGAGTCATCCCAGACTCCTTCCCTGGCACAGCCACTGGTGTTCAGCAATTCTAAACAGAGTGCTCTATCCCAGCCTGCCTCTGGAAACTCCTTCTCTCACCACAGCATGGTAAGGAAATGCTGCTCTCTGCCAGTGGATGTTTCCCTGAGGTTGCTTTTATCCCCTGTTGTTGTGTCTGTTGGGTAATATAGGAAATATAATCCTGATGCTCTCTGCTTGGGGCTGGTAGAGAGAAATAATTTGCTAGTCTGCTTTAAAAGCAGTGGCCTGAAGTTCATTGCTCAACTTGAAATAATTGTGATAATTCCTCCCCTGCTGCCCTTGTCAGATTTGCAGCACATGCTTCATTCCTGCCTAAAAGAAAAAAGGAAAAGCTCTTTTGGTCCAGGGCTTGCAATTCCAGCAGTTTGAGAAACAGAACTGGTGTGGGATGGAATGCTGGCACCCACTGACAGGAGAAGGAAGGAGACATTGAGTCAGGGATGTGCATAGACTTGGGCAGATGCTGCTTTGTGTAACTTCAGCAAAAAGAAATAAAAATGGTTTACTTAATGGTGAGATAGTTGAGGAAAGATTTTCAAAACCACATTAACTATAAAGCCAAGATCTCCTGATGTTTTTCTTTTAGTGCAACTGAATGCATGAGGATAATTCAGTATGTTTTTTAAGATCCTGTCTGTTAACCTCCTTTGTAACCCCCTTGGCATGGGTTGGGCCAGGGATGAGCATACCTGTGTTCACACATGGTGGAGGCTGGGAAAGAAACTTCCTGCCAGCAGTGTGTGTGCATTTGGAGCTCCAGAGTGCTGAGTGAGGCACCCAGTGAGGAGCAGCAGGCTACAGTGCATTTGGGATGATGTTCAGAGATGTTCCTGTCCTCTGAGCCAAGTTCCAAGCCGTGGCAGCCATTGACTTTTTCTCCTTGTTGAAATTGCAGGTGAGCATGTTGGGGAAAGGCTTTGGAGATGTCGGGGAGGCCAAAGGCAGCAGCACCACAGGGTCCCAGTTCCTGGAGCAGTTCAAGACAGCCCAGGCACTGGCTCAGCTGGCAGCTCAGCACACCCAGCCTGCTGGGAGCACCACTGCTGCTTCCTGGGACATGGCTTCCACCACACAGACCTCGTCTCTGGTGCAGTATGGTAAGGAGGAGCTGCAGCTCCCACAGGGGAGGGAATGTGTTCCCCCAGAACTGCTGGGAGGGATTCAGCAGAGGATCTGCTCACAAGCTCACAACCAGTTTAGCTGAGCTGGGAAAATTAAGAGAGCTGTGAGTGAGATTAAAATGTAATAGTGTGTGTGAGTCTCTCCCTGTTCCTTTTATACTTGGAACAGTTGAATCTGTCATTCCAGACAGGTTCAGGGCCAGGGATCTGATGTTCCTGAGCCTCTCAGAGTGTGCAGAACTATTTCCTGGTGTAAAGCTGTGCCAGAAAAAGTTCTGGAAGAGCTGCTCTGGAGAATAGCTCCCAAATATGAGACTAGTCAGTCTCTTCTCCCTGCTGAACTCCTGTTATCTTTTAAGGGAATTTTAAGGGGATTTGCTGTTAAATGCCAAGAAGTAACTCTGTCACTGGCCATGAGGGAATAAACAGGGATTGAGAAGCTCTTTCCAGATGAGAAGCTGAGTTTTGCTGTGGCTGAGTGCTAGTGTCATTTCCTTCAGCTTGTGCTTTTTATAGGGAAATGGCTCTGGTTCAAATCTAAGCTGAATTAAAATTGAGCCCTGTCCTGGTGACAGTCAGTGTTGGCAGCTTCTGATCTTCTCAGACAAGAAGCCTCACAGGAGAATAGGAGTTGATTTTGAATAAACTATGGAAAGGCTTAGTCAGAGGAGGAAGGTGGTGCAAAAACCTGAGGGTAGGCAGCCCCAGGCAGTGATGTTGCCTGGAGGTACCCAGTCCCTGCAGGAGAAGGGTGAGGCGGTGGAATGCAGGACTGTTCACAGAGCTGGGAAGTGCTCTGCAGGGCTGATATGCAGTGTCTCCACACGAGGGACTCTGGAGCCCAGCTTTTCTTGGAGAATGGAGGACTTTGCCAGGCAAGCTGGCTTTGTCCTGTAGGGGTGGTGGAAGAAACTGAGGGAAGAAGAGTTTAAAAAATCTTGGCATTGATGGTAGTGAGAGTGTGAGGCTGGGAGCAGAGATGCTTAAGTTTTCTGCTCTCTAACAAGTTTCAGGATGAAACATAAAGGAAAAGGATTTCTTTTTCTTGCTAAGTGCCAGAATTTGATTTAGTTTTAAGGAAACAAACCCTGCTAACTCATCCCTGTCTTGTCCCATAGATCTCAAGAATCCAACAGACTCTTCTGTGCATAGTCCCTTCACCAAGCGCCAGGGCTTCACATCAACTTCAACCATGATAGAAGTGTTCATGCAGGAGAAGCAGCCTGTGGTGACTGCCTCCACAACCACACCGGCCCCTCCATCCTCACCACTGCCCAGCAAAACCAATCCAGTTCCCCAGATGTCTCCAGGCTCCTCGGACAACCAGTCCTCAAGTCCCCAGCCAGCACAGCAGAAGCTCAAGCAGCAAAAGAAAAAAGCATCGTTAACATCAAAGGTGCAGTGGTGGGGAAGGAGACAACTGAGTTGTGTTAGAGCTGCAGAAACAGCCATTTGGGCTGCTCAGGGAGGGTTTGGGCTGCTCAGGGAAGGTCTGGGCTTGGCCTTCCTCTTGTTAGAATCACAGAATAACGAGGTTGGAAGAGACCTCTAAGATCATGAGTCCAACCTATGCCCTAACACTGCACTTAGACTATAGTGCCAATTGCCATGTCCAGCCTTTTTTTAAACACATGCAGAGATGAAGATTCCACCACCTCCCTGGGAAGAGCATTACAGTACTTTATTATTCATTCCAGTATTTTATTAGTTAGCAGTGAGTGCTTGTGGGGGTGATGGAGTTGTGTGCCTGCCTGGGTTGAACAGTGTAATTCAGGGGCTGCAAGCCTATAACTGCTACTGTGTGCAGGGAAACGAGGGTAATAAAGTCATTCTCTGGGCTAATCCCTGGGAATGATTGACCTGTTCTGTTGTTCCTGCCTTGCAGATTCCTGCACTTGCTGTGGAAATGCCTGGCTCCTCAGATATCTCAGGGCTAAACCTGCAGTTTGGGGCGTTACAGTTTGGTTCAGAGCCTGTTCTTGCTGAGTATGAATCGACGCCCACAACCAGCGCCGCTGTTAGCCAGCCTCAGAGCAGCCTCTACACCAGCTCGGCCAGGTGAGCACCAGGAGCCTTTAATCCAGGCAGGCAGCTTTGGGAGTTGGTCCTGTGGACTTGAGTTGTCTTGTGCATGCTAGTAGACCCTTTCTGACCGTGCTGTGGTCACAAAGGGGGGACAATGTATGCAACAGCAAAGCACAAGTTGCCAGCAGACTCATAGGGCAGCTCTGTGGCTCTCTGGCCTGTGGTACTTGTACAGAAAATTGTTTTTCTGCTAGCCTTAAACTGTGTTATTGAAAACATAGATGGGGAATGCCCAGCACAACTGCTCCATGTGTCTGGTGAGCAGATTCTGGGTGCTTTGTCCTTCTTTTTGCCTTGGCAAACTGGGACACAGTGGAGTAGGAGCATAATTTGTGATAGTGTGTTTGTCTTCTGTTGGGCTGACCCTCAGTAACTGGCCAGTCCCTTGAGTACTGGGCCCTGAGTGGTGGCAGCTCATGAAGTGTTGCCTAAGGCGCAGCATTGTGTAAGGCAAGGCTGCAGCTGGATGTCCGTGGCTGGGCTAGCCCTGCTCTGTGGGCATGTTTCTTGGCTTGGCTGCTTCATGTGGTGCCTTTACTGATGCTTGGGGCTTTTTATCTTGAGTATTTGAAGTGAAGAGCCCAGTCTGGGCCAGCAGCTTACAGCAGGGTTGTTTCAGAGGAAGATGGAGGAACACTTTTTTCTTTATTTCCTTTTGTAGTGAATCTTCATCCACAATTTCGTCCAATCAAAGCCAGGAGTCTGGTTACCAGAGTGGCACAATACAGACAGCAACATTTACCTCCCAGAACAGTGCTCAGGGACCACTGTACGAACAGAGATCCACCCAGACGAGGCGATACCCAAATTCGATCTCCTCTTCGCCCCAGAAAGATCTGACCCAGACTAAGGTGAGGCAACAGCTTTGCTCACCCATTGTGCTGAGTGAGCCTCACTTGTGAAGTGTCTTTGGGAAAGATGAATGGCTTATCAAAGAGTTCTGTGATCCTGAAGCCTCACTGTGTGGCTCCTGGGCTCTAATGAGAGCTCTCTTGTGGCTGCTGTGTTTTGTGCTGGGGTTAACAGCACTCAAGGTGATTGCAAGGCATGTGTTGTGTCATGCACCCTGCTAGAGGGACATGCAGACAAAGCATTTTGTGTTGTGTTTTGGATTTGGTTCTTGTGTGCTGCACACCAGTTCAGAAGTGTCGGGTTTGGCTAATGAGCTTGGATTGAGGGTGTTAAAGCAGTCTGACTACCAGCAGCAGAGAGACTTCTTGCACTGATTTATTTCATATACACTTGGGGACTGTGCTGGCATGGGGCTGGACCTTGGGACTGACCCAAACACAGTCTGGTAGCAGAACCTTTTCATAACTGTGCAAGGGAGTGTGTGAGAGAGGTGACACTAGCTCTGCCTCTGGAAATGCTCAGCAATAATGCCCAATACTCTTTTTTTCTCTTCTTCCTCAGAATGGTTTCAGTTCTGTACAACCTACGCCATTACAAACCACACAGGCTGTTGAAGGTAAGAGTCTTCCCAGTGCAGTGGGTGTCCTGTATCTCTTGTGTTCTCTGCTTTGAATGAGAAGTTTTATCTGTGCTAATAGCAAGTCCTTTCCTTCCTGGGCTAATTGCTGCCATTCACATTATTTGTTTGCCTCAAAACATTCAGCTTTGTGCTGATCCTTGAAGGGTCACCTATGACAATAACTTACTCTGCTTTGTGCATGGAAGGCACTTCTTCTGTAGGTCTTGAAGCTCTCTGCAGAGCCAGTGGTAGTGTTGGGGTAAAGTGAGACATAGAACACAATCATAAGTGTCTTTAACTGTTTGGGAGCACTGAGGGGAGCCCCAAATCTCCCAGCTCCTCTAGCTGAGATTTGGCTGATGTTGCTCCAAATCTCCCAGCTCCTCTAGCTGAGCACTTGCTGATCCTTGCCCTTGTGTTGCCCTCAGCCAGTAGCTGCCCTTAACCCAAAGCTTTTTGTTCTCAGGTGCTACGGGCCCTGCAGTGAAATCCGACTCCCCCTCTGCTCCCAGCATTGCCCCTCTCAATGATGGGGTGTCTGCATCGTCCCTGCTGACCACAGCCAGCCAACACTCAACAGCTCTGAGCAGCCTGAGCCACAGTGAGGAGCTCCCCAGTACAAGCACTGCCCAGCTCAGCAGGTGAGGCAGTGAGGGGTGGAGTTCTGAACTAAAAGCAGGGATCTGTAACAAACATCAGGGTCTGTCTGATGCAGTGAGGAAGACTAAGATGACTCATCCCATTCAAGCAGATGGGAAATGGGGATGGTGCTGCTGATGTTGGCTCTCACCTTGGTGTATGATAATGTTTTATTTCTCTTCCTGTCAGTGCATTACCCACCCAGCAGAACAGTCTGTCCTCATCTACATCCTCTGGGCGAACATCAACTTCAACCCTTCTGGTGAGTCTGGGTGTGATCTCTCACTGTGTGCCCCATTTCTGCTCAGCTTGGTGGGGTCTGCTGGGGTGCCTGACCTTGGGGCTGTGGTTGTGGCAGGAGCTGCCAGGCTGCTGGAGTCTGGATGTTGTGTGGAGAGAGACAACAAGGAGTTGTGTCAGTACACCTGTGGCTCAAGGCTGTTGACACCTTGCCTGTTTCTGACTGAGCAGTGCCTTCTTTTGAGCCTTTAGTAGCCCTTGAAGGTGCTGCAGAGTCAGAGCCACATGTCAGAGCAGACTGGAGGCTGATGCAGTGGAACCAAATATCTCTACTGCTGGAGCTCTTGCAGTGCAGTTCCTGGGCATTGGCTTTTGCAGCAGAATAAATCACCCTGCTGCAAATGTGGTGTCCAGCCCTGCTCTGCTCCTCAGATGAGTTGGGATGGAGCCATGAGAGGGGTTTGTAAGCATTGGGGATTGGCTGCTGTCAGGACTTTGGACTTCAGCCAGGCTCACTGCAGGAACATGCAGATGCAGACAGGGGTGCAGGATGTTCTGCACAGTGAATGTCCTGTGCTACCTGTGCACTTGGTTCCATCTCTCTGATCCCCTGACTCTCCTCCCTTCCCTCCTTAGCACACAAGTGTGGAGAGTGAAGCAAGCCTCCATTCTTCTGCTAGTACTTTCTCCACCTCCTCCAGCACGGTGTCAGCTGCCCCACCGGTTGTCAGTGTCTCCTCCAGCCTCAGCAGTGTCAGCAGCCTGGGCCTCAGCCTCAGCAGCAACTCCACAGTGACGGCCTCGACTCGCAGCTCTGTTGCAACCACATCAGGTACTGTCCCAGAGAAAGGTGTGGGGGCTAAGAGATAGAGCTCCTGCTGTTTGCTTCACTGTGGAACTTTTCCTTTCTCCTGCTTTTTCAGGAAAAGCCCCTCCCAATCTCCCTCCTGGAGTCCCACCGTTGTTGCCTAATCCATACATCATGGCTCCAGGCTTGCTACATGCCTACCCGGTGAGTGGAACTTTGCAGTGGTGTCCCAGGTCCCTCTGCAGCAGGGAGGGATGGATGTAGCATAGTGGGGAAACTCAAAACTGTGACACAGCCCAGCAGGACTGCCTTGGACAGGCAGAGTTTGGACCTGCTGGTTTTTTCCGTGATTTCCATGTGCCCGTGGAGGTAAATGTGTGTTGTGATCACCCCAGGGCAGAGTCTGTTCTCTGCAGCCTCTCCAGCCTTTTAAGAGCCCTTGGGCAGAGCACAGTGTGTGGAAGCACAGAGCTGTGTTAGAAATATGGTGTGACAAAGGGCACTCAGGGCAAGGGTAGCAAGAGCCACAAAGTCTAGGGGTGTGTGTCACATCCTCCCCTAAAGGTGAGGACAGATTTCAGTTTTGGGATGATTTGTAGAGAAAAACTGTTGAGTGGCTTTGTGCTCTGGAGCACTTTGAGCAGCTCAGAGGAACTTCTGGCAGCATCAGCCTGTGTCAAGGCTCTGGCTGCCTGCACCTGGTGGCTGCTGAATGGCTGCTTCTGGCTTTCTCTCATGTTTATCTAAATGTTTAATCTAAAATCCTTATGTTGTCCATGTCCCCAGTGTCATCTCTGGCTCTTTTTCTAGCCACAGGTGTATGGATATGATGACTTGCAAATGCTCCAGACGAGATTCCCGTTGGTGAGTACTGCAGAATGAGAAGGACATGCCACTTCCACTGGTGCTGCTTGGGTAGAGACAAAGCTGAAGAACTGGCAAAAATGGAGAGCTGAGTGGATGCACCTCTGCAGCAGCAGTGAGGAGTTAATCAGTTGCTCCTTGGCACGTGGGGAGCTGCCTGCACGAGTTACTCATGCAGCAGTGTTCCTTGTTGGAGCCAAGGAGCACGAGTTCCAACAGCAGGGCTATTAGGGAGATTCACCTCTGATCCCTGACAGAGCCAGTGACTAAATGCCTGATGAGAATGGGCTTTATTTAGCAACAGGACATGTCCATTTTATTGTGAAGAGGGGGGGAAAGTCCAGCCAGTTTAAGAGCTGCATACCAGTAGACCTTATCTGGTTCTTCTAATAGCCAGATGAGGGGGATGGTACATGCTACAAAAACCTGGGGCTGCTGTAGGTTATGATCAGCCTGATGTGGCTGGTTGGACTGCAATTCTCAGACATATCTTGCAGCTGCAGTACAGAAATCCCTCTCTCCCAAATATACTGCTTTGCACTTTGGACAGAGCTGATAAAAATGTCTTCTTTTGTTTTTATTCATCAGGATTACTACAGCATCCCATTCCCTACACCCACCACACCACTGACTGGAAGAGATGGCAGCCTGAGCAGCAATCCATACTCTGGTAGGGAAAAACACTGCTCTGATTCCCACCCTATCAGGGTTTGTGCTGCTCCTACCAGTGTCCTGTGTCTTTGTTCACTGGAGCTACCTCTGCACCTGCACTGTGCTCCTGCACTGCTTTTGGTTTGGAGCATGCTTCTCACAGCTAAATTCTTGCTTTCCCTTTGAGCGTTTCTTGTGTCAAGGTCTGATACTGGGAAGAGGTGGGCAAAGTAGCTGCCCTTAATGGGGCAGCTGGAAAGGGAGTGAGGAAGGGCTGGAAGATTCTTCAAGGCCTACAACTGGGGAAATGCTTTCCAGGTGGTAAGCAGTGCTTCTCAAGCACTGAGAGTAAAAATAGAAACACACAATATGGAGAATTTTTTTTTTTTTTTTAATATGGGACAGTCTCAGGGAGAAAGCAAGTGAGAACTTTGAGACCTGTCAAACTCAAGCCAAACACCCAGTTGGGTTTATGACCTCACACTGACCTTGGTAACCTTGGTTAACACACTGTCAGTCTGCAGTGGGCAGTGACTGAGCTTTCCCATGCTTCAGGAATTGTTGCATTGGAGGTTCACTCTTTTTCCAGCACCACTTCTCCTCAGCTTTGGCAGGAGCTGCTTTGTGTGGAAGTGCTTTTGCCCAGCTGAGGCTGAAAGCTCAGAGCTCTCTGAGCTTTGAATAGGAGAGTGTGTTTGCATGGGTGAGCCAGGCAAATGCTCATCAAGATCAGAACCTGCAGCCAAGCCCTGCACAGCCCAGGCAAGGGTCTGGGTTGTGTTCAGTCCTGCTGGTGGTGCATGGAGAGGGACAGCTCTGAAATCAGGCTCTGCTAGCAGGTTTATCCAGTGCCAGGTTGTGGGCTTTGCTATTGTGGCTTCCCTTTGCCTCTGTAGCCCTCTGTTAGGGCCAAGGAGCAATTAATAGCTTCACCTTATCAATGTGCAAAAGTCTGAGGACCACAGTCCTTGGGAGGAGGGGAGTGTGACTGAAGTCACTGTTTATCAAAAGACTGGCTCACCTTTGGGCTGAGTTGAAGCAGGCCAGAATCTGACTAACATCTGTTCTTCACTCTCACCTCCTCTATTTCAGGTGATTTAACAAAATTTGGCCGTGGTGATGCCTCTTCCCCTGCTCCTGCAACAACTCTGGCTCAGCCTCAGCAGAGCCAGACCCAGACCCACCACACCACGCAGCAAACGTTCCTGAACCCGGCGCTGCCTCCTGGCTACAGTTACACCAGTCTGCCATACTACACAGGGGTACCAGGGCTCCCCAGCACCTTCCAGTACGGGCCCGCCGTGTTCCCTGTGAGTTCCCAGGGGCAGGGTGTGGCATTTGGGCACAAGGGTGGCCCAGTTTGCCTCTGCTCACTCTGTTCCTCTCTGTTCTGTAGGTTGCTCCTACCTCTTCCAAGCAGCATGGTGTGAATGTCAGCGTCAATGCATCAGCAACCCCTTTCCAGCAGCCCAGTGGCTATGGCTCTCATGGGTACAGCACTGGTAAGAGACCACAAAAACACTTTCCACGGCAGCAGGGCTTGCTCCCAGTCTTACTGGCTGTGATAGGGACTGCTGTCTTACAGCAGTAATGGAGAAAAATTCCAGGGATGCTGCTCCCAAGGAGATTGGTTATCCATAGAAAGGCCCAGGATTGTTCTGCATGCAGGTTTGGGGGTTATAGATCACTTCATGCCCTCCTCTGTGGGGTTACAGATCCTCTTAGGGGTTACAGATCACTTCATTCTTGCTTACTGGCTGTGGTAGGGATTGATATCTTACAGCAGTAATAGAGAAAAATTCCAGGGATGCTGCTCCCAAGGAGATTGGTTATCCATAGAAAGGCCCAGGATTGTTCTGCATCCAGGTCTGGGGCAGGTTTGGGGGTTACAGATCACTTTGTGCCCTCCTCTGTGGGGTTACAGATCACTTCATGCTTGCTTACTGGCTGTGGTAGGGACTGCTATCTTAAAACAGTAATGGAGAAAAATTATGCTGCTCCCAAGGAGATAGGTTATCCATAGAAAGGCCCAGGATTGTTCTGCATCCAGGTCTGGGGAAGATTTGGGGGTTATAGATCACTTCATGCCCTCCTCTGTGGGGTTACAGATCCTCTTGGGGGTTACAGATCACTTCATGCTTGCTTACTGGCTGTGGTAGGGATTGATATCTTACAGCAGTAATAGAGAAAAATTCCAGGGATGCTGCTCCCAAGGAGATTGGTTATCCATAGAAAGGCCCAGGATTGTTCTGCATCCAGGTCTGGGGCAGGTTTGGGGGTTACAGATCACTTTGTGCCCTCCTCTGTGCCCCACAATCAGCTGTCTGGGCCCTCAGAAGGTTAAGCTGCTCAGTGGTTTGGTTTGTTGGTTTTTTTATCTGCCTATATGTGATTAACAGAACAGCAATTGTTCTGGATTTGAGCTTGTTTCCCACCAGTGTTTGGCAGACACTTTCTAAGGAAGTGTCCTTGATTCAAAGATGCAGGAAGGTCATGAACCTGCTGCCTGTCTTGGTACTTGGTTGGTGTCTGGCTGACTTACACAGGGCTGTATTTGGCTCTCTCTGCCAGTCTTTAAATTCCTTTTGTCACTTTTTTCACTGCATTAGAGCCCTTTAAGATAGTATTTTCTCTTTGAGAAGGTAATTCAGTTTTATTCCAGGTCACCTGGTGCTGAGTCCTTCAAACTGTTTTCATTTCAGCACTTTTTCCAGGCATTAAATAATGGCTGAGGTGTCCTCTGGGCCACCCTTTTTTATGGACAGCCAACACCCCATGGGGCTTGTGTTGTCAGTCACTGCACCAGCCATCCCAGCCTACAGCTGAGTTGCCTTTCCATGCAATTGCCTGTTTTACACCAGAGGAGCTTTTGGGTTGTTTTTGCTGCTGTGGGTTTGTTTCCCTGTCTGTCCATTGTGTTCTCCAGCTCTCCTCAGACCTGCTGTTTCCCATGTGTTTCTCTGGGTGGCAGCCAGCCCTTCAGCTGGTTTCTGGAGGCATTTTGAAACAGTGTGTGTCCAGAGCAAAATAACTTTTATGGGTGCTTTGCACGTGGTCATGCCCAGGCCTGTGACCGTGTTCACAGGGGTCTTAGGATGAGGGAAGAGACAAGGATCTGACTCCATGTTTCAGAAGGCTTGATTTATTATTTTATGATATATATTATATTAAAACTATACTAAACAAATAGAAGAAAGGATTTCATCAGAAGGCTGGCTAAGAATAGCAAAAGAAAGAAGAATGATAACAAAAGCTTGTGGCTTCGACTCTCTGTCCATGCCAGCTCACTGTGATTAGTTATTCATTAGAAACAACTGCATGAGACTAATCACAGATCTACTTGTTGCATTCCACAGCAGCAGATAACCTTGTTTACATTTTGTTCTTGAGACCTCTCAGCTTCTCAAGAGGAAAAATCCTAAAGAAAAGATTTTTTTATAAAAGATATGTGATACAGGCCAGTCTGTCTGCAGATCTCTGACCACTGGAGCTCTCCAGCAGGTGTTAGCAGCAAGCAGCTCATGCTGGCTCACTGGCTGCTGCTTAACACCCACCTCTCCCTTCCTTCTGCCCAGGTGTATCTGTGACATCCAGTAACACAGGCGTGCCAGACATCTCGGGCTCTGTCTACTCCAAAACTCAGGTCAGTGTCTGTGTGCTTCCTGCCTTGCTGGGGAGGAGTAGCCAAGCTCTGAGACAGCCTCTCTGGCAGTGAGGTCTCTTCCCCTTGGATCAGACAGTCAGGGAGAAGGGAAATGCTTGACATTTCCCAGCTTACAGCAATTCCAAGGCCAGAAAGAGCCATGGGAAGAGACTCTTACCTGTTCTCTGTACCACAGGCTGACTGTGGGCCTGTGATGTGTAGAGATGGGAGGGGCACACTGCCAGCCTGGCTCCCCACCCTTATCCTGCCTTTGGCATCTCCTCCTCAGCAATCCTTCGAGAAGCAGGGATTTCACACTGGAACCCCAGCAGCTTCCTTCAACCTGCCTTCAGCTCTGGGCAGTGGTGGCCCCATCAACCCCGCCACGGCGGCGGCGTACCCCCCGACCCCCTTCATGCACATCCTGACCCCGCATCAGCAGCCTCACTCGCAGATCCTCCACCACCACCTGCAGCAGGATGGGCAGGTAAGCAGTGCCCCTGGCACCTCAGCCCCTTGCTGGGCCATCTCCTAGGGCTCGTGCTCCCCCTGGACTTCCCTGGTCCTTCTGTCCCTCCCTCCCTCCTGCTCTGCGGCGGACACATGCAGCAATAGGCACATGCTCACACCTGCACATACACACAGGGCCTGTAGGAGGATGATGAGGTGAGGAGGAAGGCCTGGGGTGTGCTCTGCCAGGGTGGGTGCTCAGCATAACCCCCCTGCTGCTGGGCTGCACCAGCTATGGCCAGGTAGTGCCCCCTTATCTGGGGCACCCCAACCTCCCCCATCCTCGGAGGGGCAGCTCCACAGGCCAGCACCAAAGGGGTTCCTCACCACAGCCACGACCCTGCAGGAGCTTTCAGGTCTAACCGTGGATTTCGATTGTCATAGTTTGTCCCTTTATTTTACATATCCTGGTACTGCAACAGCTTCCATATTTGCAGATGATACTGTGCTGCCAACGCCAGCAGGAAGATCAGGTAATGAACTCTCTGAAAATGCATTGCACTTGCTGTGGGCTCTGCCCCTGTCCCTAAGGCTCCCCAGGAACACAGCCCCTTCCTTCTTCCCCATGGCCCCACGAGGAGAGGAGAGAGGCCCTCAGGCAGTATGTGCACACACAGACACACAAACAGAGCCATGAGCAGACACAACCCACACCGACCCTTCCCTGTCTCCTCTCTCCTGCTGCCCCCAGCCCTGTGTGTGCTGGCCTGGAGCAAGGTGTGCAGCCGAGGGAGGGTGCTGGAGGCTGCCCCAGTGCCAGGGAGCTGAGCTGGGCCCAGGAGGATCAGCAGCTGCCCAGAGCACCTGGCCAGGGGCCCAGGTGTGCCCGTGTTACCCTGTGGGGCAGGCTGGGGGTGCCTCCCTGCACTCACCACCCTCTCCTCTGCCCTTTCCCGCAGAGCGGCTCCGGGCAGCGCAGCCAAGGCAGCTCCATCCCCCAGAAATCCCAGGCCAACAAGTCTGCCTACAACAGCTACAGCTGGGGCGCCAACTGAGGCCGGGCCCTCGGCACCACTCGCTTCCAGAAGAGAATCCCAGTGCCCCCGATGATGAGGAAGGACCCCAGGGAGGAGAGAACCCTGCGGCGGGGAGCGCCTGGGCCCCCAGCCCAGCAGGGCCCCGCAGGGCAGGCCGCAGGCGCCTCTGCGTTGTCTGTCTTCAGCCACTTTCCTGTTGTATGTAATATAGAATTTGTATTTTTTCTTTTTTTTTTTCTTTTTTTTTTTTCTCTCTCTCTCTCTCTCCGCATTCAGATCTGAACCGTTTGCCGTAGGGGCCTTTTTTGGTTTTTACTCCTTTCTATCCCCTCTCCCATCCAGCTGCCCCAGAATCTCTCAGATCCAAAGGAGTGGAAGCTGCGAGTCGCCTACAGCAAACCCCCTTATTATTAGGATTAAGACCAGTAATTGATATGAGCAGCATTGTAAGATTAATTAGTTGAAGTGTTTTTTTTGTACCGTGTTCTAAATTTAATGGATAAATGTGTCTTGTATATAAAAACAAAAACCCCATGCTGTCCTCTAGTTCTCTCATTTCTCCCCCACCCCGCCGAGGGGTCCCCCCTGGTATTTTATGTTTTCCATCTGCGTCCCTCCATCCTCACGGGCCCAGAGTGCAGGTCCTGCCCTGCTTGCACGCTGTAAGTATCTTCTGCTTTTGGGTTGGGGATTTTTTTATTTTCTTTTTTTTTCCTTTTTTTTTTTTTTTCCTGTTTTGTTTTGTGGGGTTTTGTTTGATTTGGTTTGGTTTTTTGGGGGTATTATTTTTGGTTTTTTCTATGCAGTCCAGATCTTGTATTTTTCAGTTCCACCTGATCCCTTCAGCTGCAGCCCCAAGCGGGGATTTACTGAAGAGAATAAAGATCACAAAGTGATGTGTGTATTTTTTCCACCTTCTCAGCCTCGTTCCCTATTTTTGGTGCAGGGGGTTGGGCAGCCCTGGGCAGTGGGAGCAGCGCTTCCCCCACCCCTCCCCAGCTTCTTGCTGGTGTTTTTGTCCCCTCCTTTTGTGGATTTTCCTTTTCCCAGCTGCAATGCTGGGCAGCAAGATGCCAGCACAGGGATAATGCCCTCCCTTCTCTGGGACCTTCACCCTTCATTTCTGCTTCCTGCTGAGCTCTGCCTTGTCTTCCCACTGCTCTGGTGCTGCTGCTCCTCCTTTGGGCGTTCAGGGCTGCTCTCCCCAGCCCCTCGTCCCCACCGGGCAGTGCGGGAGGGTTCTCACAGGCACCGGGCAGGGCAGTGAGACACTGGAAAAGCAGTGCCCGGTCCTGCAGTGCCCGCCGAGCTTCCCCTCGCGACCGGGGCACAGCAGGAGCCCTCCGGGGCCGCGTGGGGCTGAGGGGAGCGGCGGGGCCGGGCTGGGCTCCGGAGCTCGGCTGGGGGAGCGCAGGGGCCGCTACCGCAGCCTGGGACCCGGGAACCCCGCCAGCCCGCACGGGGGCCCGGGGCACTCCGTAGGGATAGCTCGTGCTTTGGAACAGGCGGGCCCGCGGGGACGGTCACACCGGGACGGCTCCGGTCCCTGCGGCTCTCGGGGGCCCGGGCCGGTCACACCGGGGCTGTTCCGCCCCGTGCGGCTCTCGGGGACCCGGGCCGGTCACACCGGGGCGATTCCGGCCCGTGCGGCTCTCGGGGCCCTGTCCGGTCACACCGGGGCGATTCCGGCCCGTGCGGCTCTCGGGGCCCTGTCCGGTCACACCGGGGCGGTTCCGGCCCGTGCGGCTCTCGGGACCTGGGCCGGTCACACCGGGGCGGTTCCGGCCCGTGAGGCTCTCGGGACCCGGGTGGGATACGGGACGGCCGCGCTGCCGCAGCGCCTCGCGACAACCGGCGGCGCTTTACGGCCGCGGCGCTTGGCGGCAGCGCAACCCGGTCGGGACGGGGTAGCGGGACCTGGAGGGCCCCGGCGGGCCCCGGAGCGGGATGAGCTTCTACGACGTGTTCCGCGGCTTCTTCGGCTTCCCGGGACGGTGCAGGTGACCGGGACCCCGCCCGTCCCCTGGGTGCCCCCGGCCTCGCCCGCACCTGTCCCTCTCTCAACCGCCCGTTGCCGCACCGGCCCCGGCCCTGTCCCGCTTGCTCCGGCCTGTCCGGTCTCACTGCCGCTTTCCCGCAGACCCCGGGACCCGCTGTTCGGCGGTGCGGCGTGGGACGAGGAGGAAGATGAGGAGGAGGATGGCGGCCCGTCCATGTCGCAGCCCCCCCAGGACTTCGGCTTCGGGTTCAGCCCTGGCCCGTCCCGCGGCGCCTTCGAGGAGCTGTTCCGGGACATGGGCGAGCTCCTGGGCGTCCTGGGGGGGTTCTGGGCCGAGCCCCAGCAGCCTTTCGGTGGGTACGGGAAGGGCTGAGCGAGACTCTGGGGGCATCTCAGAGCCCCTCGGCCTGACCGACGCCCTTGTGCTGCCCAGAGCCCGCCCTGCCCGGCCCCGATGAGGGCAGCGCAAGGCGAGCGCTGCGGGACTCGATGCTGAAGCAGCCGGACAGTCCCCCTGCCAGCGCGGCCCCGGGGAGCTCCGGCGATCGGGCCCGGCCATGGAGACCCTTCTTAGGGGTGCGTGAGGGGTCTGGGCTCTGCCTCCCGCAGGACAGCTCTGTGCTGGTGCGGTGCTGCCCCAGTGTCGCGCTTTGTTTCCCATCACTGCCGTCAGCGGTGCGTGGCTTTGTCTTGCAGCTGGAAGATGCTCCCCGGGCTCCTCCCGCCCTCAAGGAGGACCAAGGTGGGTGCTGGGAGCGGGGGCTGAGGGGCCTCCCTGCTCCGGACAGCCTCCGGGGCGTGTCCCCACGCTGCGGCCACCACCTTCCCTCTCCCCCCAGACCTGGACTCCCAGGTCTCCTCCGCTGGGCTGGGCACCATCCTGAGACCCGACGAGCCCAGGTCTCACTCTTACTTCCAGAGCGTCTCTGTCACCACAGTGACTCTCCCTGACGGGGTGAGTGTCCCTGCAGGGCTGGGGGAGGCCTGGGGACACCGTCCCCGTGGTCTGGGGGTCTCTCAGGGCTCGGTGCTGTGCGCAGGGGGTGGAGGAGCGCCGCACCGTGCAGGACAGCCAGGGCCGCCGGGAGACCACGGTGACGCGGCGGAGAGGGGACCAGGCCTTCATCAGCACCACCAGGGAGGACGGGCAGGGCAAGGACTACCGCGAGGAGGTGCTCAACATGGATGACCGTGAGTGGAGCTCTGGGGAGGGGGCAAACAGTGGATGGAGGCCCCACTGAGGGAGCTCTCTCTGCCCTCGCAGGGGAGCTGGCACAGTTCGCTGGCACGTGGCCACAGCATGAAGAGCTTCCTGCTGCCAACCTGGGCCCCTCATCTGCGCTGGGCAGCTTCCTCCGACGCTGGTTCTCGAGCTGGTAGCTGTGCCCAGTCCTGATTGAGCAGCCCACGTGTGTTTCAGGTGTGGGCTGGTGGGATCCTGGGCTTGCCAGGCCTGTCAGAGCAGGCAGTGGGCAGCAGCCTCTTCTCACCAGCTGTTTTTGTTGTAGATGGGTCACATCTTGCTGGGAAGTGGTGCCTGGGCTGGAGGCTGTCCACCTTCTGCAGTGCTGCACAGCCACAGGGAGCCCTGTGGGGATCAAGTGTATGTGTGTACAGAGCAATAAAGTCTATTTATGCTAAACGGTGACCTTCCGTGCTCCTTCAGACTGGCATCTCATGTGTTTGGAGGCAGATTCCCCCTGTCCACCAGGATGACTCTGGGGGGCTGCCTCAGGGGTACAAGTGATTGCCAGGCTCCTGTGCCTGCACTGCTCCCTTCTTATCTCCCTCTCCCATTTCCTTGCCCCATGCAGTGTTAATGCCCTCCCCGGGCCACTCTTGAGGGCCTGGCCCAGCCTGGAGGCCTTTCCAGGATCTCTTTATTAGTATTGACTGCAGCTGTGGCTTGGGCAGGGATAAAGGGGGTTCCTGGCAGGCAATACCTGTGCCTGCTCACCTGAGCAAGGTCGTGGCTCCCCCATGGCCAACTGGGGCTCAGGGTGTTCCTACCTGGCCTTGCCCTGCTGGGGTGCAGCATTGTCACACGGTGTCCCCGGCCACACACAGGACTCTGGTCGCTGCCAGGCGTCTCCCGTGGTGCAGCCATGATTGGTTTAAAGTCTGCACATAATCACCCACCTGGCTGTGGGGCTCATAAAACCTGCTGCGAATTAGACATCTACACCACTCTCACTGCTGCCAGCGCTGCCAGTGCTGCCTCTGCCCAGCTGGCACCATGGGCACCACTTCTTTCTTGACAAGGGCCCAGAGGCTGCTCCGCATTAGGAACCAGCTGGTGAGGGAGTGCTTGGGTGAGGTGCTGTCCACCTTCGTGATGATGGTAAGCAGGGCACGCAGCTGGGTTGGGGCTGGGGGTGTCGTGTGTGTGTGACAGGGCTGATGGTGTCGTGGTGGCAGGTGCCAGGGGTCCCTGGGGTTCTGTGACAGGGCTGATGGTGTCGTGGTGGCAGGTGCCAGGGGTCCCTGGGGCTCTGCTGCTTGCCCCTTGAGGTTGGAAAGGTCTGAGGCTGTGCCGCACTCAAATGTGCAACTCAGCACTGCCTGTCCTCCCCCTTGGACCCTGTTCCCACAGCATGGTCCACCCTGTGCCACAGCTCCGGTGCAATCAGGGTGTGGTGCTGGGCAGTGTGTGCCCTGATACCTCCTGCCTCAGAGCAGGCAAAGGCTGGGGCTCTGGTGCTGTCCTTAGCCTTTGGGCTACATCGCATGATGGCAAATGGTGTCCCTGGATCTATGTTGTGGCACCTCTTTCCCAACACCTCCCCACAGAAAGCAGTTTATTTAATTGCTTGTAATTTGGTTATTTTGCTATCAAAACCACAAGTGAGGGCAATAACCACCTCCCTGCCAGTCCCTGTCTGGTGTCCAAGTATTGGGGAGCAAAACCAGGGGGGCAGCACCAGCACAGCCCCTGCCTTGCTGCCCTGCAGTATCAGCACTGGGAGGGTCTCAGCACGAGGCCACCAGGGCTGAGGTGGGGCTCCCTCTTCTCCAGACAATCACCCTGGCCAGCGCTGCACAGAAGATTGCCTTCTATCAGACCAAGGGGAATATCTTGACCAGCTACCTGGGAGGTGCCCTGGGTGTCATGGGAGGCATCTACACAGCAGGGGGAATCTCTGGTGAGACAGAGGAAGGGGTCCCAGCTCTTGCTATCCCCTGGCTCTGAGTCCCCCAGGACCCTCCACTCCCAGCCTTTCTCCCTACTCCATTGCAGGGGCCCACATGAACCCGGCGTTCTCCTTAGCCATGTGCCTGATAGAGCAGTTCCCCTGGTGGAAGTTTCCCATCTTTGTGGTTGTGCAGATTGTGGGATCTTTCATAGCTGCTGGAGCTGTTTACGTCCTCTACTATGGTATGGGGGGGCAGCATCGGACAGGGGAACTCCACGGTGATGCTGGGGAGGCCAGGCTTTTGTACATGCTCTGCCTCTGCCCCTAGATGCCATCTGGCACCATAGCAATGGGACCCTTACTGTCACTGGCCCCCAAGAAACTGCCTCCATCTTCGCCACTTACCCTGCTGACTTTGTGTCTATTGGCAATGGCTTCTTGGACCAGGTGGGTGCCACTGTCAGCTCCCGCAGCCCCCTCCCAGCCCGCTCGGTCCCCGTGGTGCTGAGCTGCTGTGCTGTCCTCACAGGTGATCGGCACAGGGGTGCTGATAATTGTTGTCATGGGCATCATGGACCCCCGCAACAAGCCTGTCCCCAAGGGCCTGGAACCAGTGGTTGTGGCTCTCTTGGTGCTCTCCATCGAGTGCTCCATGGGGGCCAACTGTGGCTGCCCCCTGAACCCTGCACGGGACATCGGGCCCCGGCTCTTCACCTATCTGGCAGGCTGGGGCCCAGAGGTCTTCAGGTGGGTCGAGGGAAGG